AAACGGCATCGGTTAGTTAATCATCTTGCTTTCAGCTGTCTGAAACCCTTCCCCACCCTGTGTATCAGAGGAAACAAGAAACTTCTCACTCCTCCAATTTCGAGTGTCAATAAATGCTTGTTGATAGTAAAGATGCGAGTTTCCAATAATTCAGGGTGAATTCATCTGGCGATTTGGAGAAAAGAGTTCTGTTTAAAATCAAAGTGTTGCACCACTCTTATATCAAAGACGGCCACATGGGTATGGTTTCTATATTTACAGGTGCGTTTCCACGTGTTATTATCTGAGATTAATCGATCGTAAATTCACGGCCTAAATGTTACATTTAGGTTATACTGGTACATGTATTAGCTCAGAATAATTCAAACGTGTTAATGCTGCAATGCCAAAACTAAAAACGATACGAAAAATATTAGCAAAGAAATCAATGGATGGAGACATTAACCATTTTTGTGTAAAATCGGTGCAACTTCCGTACGCCCAATTTTCTTTACGCCATAAAGTAGCCATCTATAACTTTGATAACAATGTCCTCATTTTGCAAAGAAAAAAAATGTACCTGCTCTTTCACATGGTGCAGTCACATGTGTTTTTGATAAGAAATGGATGCAGACTCGGTTGAGAGAGTATCGATAGGGAACTGTACGAATGTAACGCCATTTGTGATTACTGTAATTATCTGACCGCTACGTGCACCATGTGGTTTTCAACGGTTCACTTTATAAGTCGTGAAAACAAGTCGAGGATTTATAAAAAAAAATACTGCTGCACCTGCCCATACATCAGGAACGTAGGGATTCTGAGGTTAATAATAGATACGAAGTCGAAGGAAAATGTGCTGATTATAACAGAAAATTGAAAGATGTGATCTACCTGTAAGTACAGATGTTGAGTTGGAGAAAAAAAGTAAGGGATATGCTAATGAAACCGCCTATCGAGTCGCCGGTCAAAACCTGAATTTGATACACTGCCTTTTCCATTGATTAGCGTGACTTTTAGACAACGAAACGGTCTTAATGGAAAATGGCGATTGCACACACACATTTATGTCATAAAAGCAAGCTTCTATAAAAAAGGTACAAATCCAGATTGGGCATTTTTCCACTGAAAGACGTGGGGATGATTATGATTTTGCAGACCAGCTTATTAACACGAAAGGAGATATAAATTCTATAACATAATATGACCGGCTGACAAACCCTACACTCCTGTAGAACAAATTACGAATATGTGTTCAACTTTGATATAATATGATACATATATGCACTGGTATTTCAGCATAGAAAAATTACTGTATTTACATATTAACCTGACCTCTACTATATGGCGTATTGGCAGTAAATTTTAGATCTTAAATAGGCACTATATTTCCTGAATTCGTAAAGGGACGGGGTAACTATGTTATTTTTGTTGAACTGCTAACCGGGCAAACCCGAGCTCGAGCTCAGTTATTGTGAAATATGCTTTATAAGAACATTCGTCTCAGTATCTCTGTAGATTACTTCTCCACCAACTCAATCAAAACAGATAACATCGTTTCCTCGGAATGTGCGTCTGGTCCGGCCATTGAACTTATTGCCACCGGGGCAGGTCTTCTTTGACCTTAGTACTTAGAAGTGTCGGAAGATTAGAACTTCCTGTCTATTCATCTTTTGAGAATATAAGTAAAGTGCTGAATGTTCATCAAGTACCACCGTGAAAATTTGCTAGACATGTACCCCAGGAAGTTAATAAACAAATTTTACTTATTTGAAATAAATTAATAAATAAATAAACAAAAATAAATAACAAGATAACTGACTAATAAATAAATAAATAAATAAATCAGTACATCAATAAAATAAATAAATTAAGGATAAAGGGAGTCAGAATAACTTTGACTCAAATTAAAGAGTTGATAATTGACTTATATACGGTGGGCATTTGATTAAAGTCAATCACTCTCATTTCTTGTTAGAATTCAAGCTCAATCAGTGAACTTTGGTGTGAAATAGATGCAATGAATAAAAAAAGCGTGAATTAACAGGCCAAACCCTTAACTGAGCTTCACCTCAAGAACACGTTCATTAACCTCCCGTTTGGAGTAAGCGTAAACAACAAATTTGTTTTTCCACTTTATGATCCTTGAAAAACATGGGGCATATTTGCAAAAAAGAAAAAAAAAACATTTGCACAAAATAATGCTGTATTTTAATTCAGAACTCCAAAATCCACAAAAAGGTTCATTGTCTGCATAAAATTTTAAGGTTTAATTTCGCTTTAGGAATTGTAAAAGTTGCTCTCTTGGAGGTAGTTAGCACTGGGGTGTATAGATTCGTATATCGTCTGCCATGGACACAGTGCAGTGTACTTCAAATATGGATGATCTCACATAAAACCAGCTTAATGTTTCCAAGTAAAAAACAAATGTCCACTCGGTGCTCAATGTTATCAGTGACGTTCTAGATGCCAAAGTGTATCCCTGGACTCGCAAACTTTAGTCCATGCCCTTTACTCCCGCCCTCGTGGAGGTAGCGTCGTTTGAAGTGTGGGTCGGGGTGTCGTCTGCCATGATGGTGCTTAGTGTTCCGAATGTGTTCCTCTTCGTATTCCTTCTTATGTCTCCATTCTTCGTCTCTGTGTCGCTTGCTCTCTATGTCGTCACCACCCATATCTTAAACAGAATTTCACGGCATCTGTGAGATTTTATTTTACAAGCTTGACGAACTGTTTTCTATCAAATTGTGAACACTTTATGCTCGAAAACAGTAAACACTTTACATTCTTCAAAACAGAAACGAATTGTTAAGGTAAGATAAATTCTAAATCCGTTACAAATTCCTACAGCGCAAAGTCATGGAAAACCTTTCAATAAATGTACATTATGCAAATATATGGATAAAAGTTAGTAAAGGAACGCAAATAAATGATTAAAAAGCAGAAACTGGGTAAATAAAATAATAAACAAATACATGGACAAAAAATATATATTAACAAGAATAACAAATATTTAGGGTAAAAATTAAAAGGAGTAAAATATTATTGTTGTATTGAGTCTCCGTATTGGCAGTCGTTATACACGCCTGCTGTCCACACATTGAAAGGCCGAAAACTATAGTTTGTACAAATGTGAGCTTGTATACATTATGCACTCTATTCTGGCAAGCTTTGGAAACTTATGGCAGACAAACACAAAACAACCCATTGCATGCTTTGTCAGTTTTAATTGATTCGACCGAAGCCAAAACCACCTATTTGAGAGATGTAATAAAAGATGCAAGATGCCCAGACCCGTGACGAAATTTGACCATTATAGTGACCTTTTTATAGGATCGATAAAATGACCAAATTATTTAAAGATAAAATGTAGCAACCTGCCACTTGTTGGTCAATAAACAATCCAAAATACACCAGAGTTTGCACCAATACTATCGAAACAATATAAAATGTAAAATACCACGCTATGACCTAAATTACCTATCACATATCTCACCTTCCGTCTCTTAAAACGCTTTCCTGAAATCCCGCTACACCCTGTGTCGTGTCGAAACACACGGGAAATCAGGAGAGAGTCTCCAAGCCTGTTGTCATAGTGCAGGTCTCAAAGCACTGTGCAGAGAAGTATAGCCGTTACGATTTCTTTTCTCTTTTTTTTTCCACACCATCTGCTCAACAGAATAACTTTTGGATGATAAACGACATCTACAGTACTGTCAATAATTGCAGAATTCGTGAAATCGCGGTTTGATACAGTATGCTCCACATACATGATGGGCGCAGATTGAGGTGATACTTTTGATCAGCACTGTATCCTCCCATATGTTGCAGGGCAAGGCATTTTGTTGGAAACCTAGAGTGCAACATGTGTTAGGGTAATTGCGGTATAATTGATTCCAATTGCAATAATTTCACGAAAGCGATGTTTCAGTTACATGCAGTTATCTCCCCAGAACACTGCCAAGGGATTCTTACAGTATGAATTGTCATTAATCTGAATGTATGTGTTGAGGCGCAGGGCAGCTTTTCTAGAACAGGTATCAGTGCGTTAACTCCAAGCAATGCCTTTTGGTTCCATTTTACATAATTAGAGGTGTCATGACCGGAATTTTATCTCCAAATAGAAGCTAAAGGGAAATAAGGAAATTGAACAGGTTCCGCCTTCTTACTAATCATTGCTCGATCTTTCCCCGCATTTGATTTTATTTTATTCAATTTGTCATAAAATAATTTATCTCTAATTGACTGCTCATTCACTTAGACCACCCTGTCACCCTGTGCATTTCGGTAGGAGGCATCGACATTAAGTCTTTAATCTGCGGGATTTTATCTTTTTTTTATTTCTGAATTGGGAAAGGTCAGTAGATTTGCATGGATTGTAGACCTAAAATACAGGTATGTCTTTGGGGTATTTTCAAACGAGGATCGGTAACCTTTCTAAAACGGTACTGGGTCATACCGACCTGATACCCGTCATAATGTATTAAAATGTCGACGAGGTTATATAATCTTGGTGTTTAGAACACAAAATAGTCTGTCAGCGGAGATCCATAAGGGAGAGGCAGGCAAGGGGGGGATCTGACCAAATAGCACACCAGAGGGGGTGATAGGTTGTCATACCTGTCACAACCTCATTCCCTGTTGAAGTCTGACTGCAAGCTAATGAAATATTGGATGGTAAGATCAGACAAAAATAAGTAGCTATAGCCCAAAGGATCCTCACAAGTCTATAACTGAGTGTGTTTTCGTAAAGGCAGACAAATAATTACGAAACAGTTAAAACGTACCGGTACAATTATAATCAAAATATTATTTTTTATTAATTATTTGAATAGATAATTCAATAGTGAAATCTCAACAATGTTTGATCTTGTAATAAAACTGAACAAATGTCAATTAACACCATTTCCTGAATAACTAAAATACTCATTATGTGAAAAGAATTAAATAAACAGGTGCTCTAATATAAAATGTACATACAGTATACGCATCTATCTCATTAAAATATCAATTAAAGGTACATGTACATATACCGTAATAGAGTATAAAACAGTACCTAAAGACATAAACCACCGGTTAGTAAAATCAGAATATTATTTTATGTACATGAATACTATTTCATCAAAAGGTCGACAGTGTCCAAAGATGACGTGTATCTGAAAACCCCAAATAAGTACGTTTTGGTCCCTTGAGATTTTAGGCACGCTGTAGAGTTTCCCCGTACTCCTTTAGTTTTGAATTACCTAAAAGTAGACGTGTATTCCAAGAGTACGATCCTATTGACTAATCATCATACAGTTTATATCTGCTTATTTGTTTCGCCAGGTTGAAGCCATTCCTTGTTCGAGCTTGAAGTGCTTCCTTGTTAGAATCTACACGATATTAGCTTGCAGGACTTCCTGGTACGAATCTTCAGGATGGCAAATAATAAACACCTATTTTCACATCAAGTCTGTTTGGAAGAAAGTAAACCTTCCATGGAACCTATATGACTTCAAAAATAGGCGCATCCGTTTGTTATTTTATCAAATACGTGCAGGTAACGTGCTGATTGTATATTGTAAAGTACATTAGCGCCTTGTAATGTTTGCCTTTTATACATCATCTTCTTAGATAATACATTGATACAAATAGTGTAAATTGTTAAAGGCATCTAGGAATGTCTCTTTAACTAATTTGATTAATATATAACATGTATAAAAGTTTTGGCATCACAATTCTGATGAATCAGAACACAATGCACGGCGATTTGATTTATATATTGCTCAACGTATTCTGTTCTTTGTGAAAACTTTAAAAAATCCATCATATAAATACACTGGTGCGTTCTTTAAAAATCACATATATCATAGAGCCCTCCCCTTAACTTTCGCAAAAGTATCGTCGGAATAAATGTGTTAGTTGTGCACGAAATACGATAAACAGTGTCTGTTAACATTACGTTAATCACAATATTGCATAACTATGTACATATAGTACATATAAATGGAAGCTGTATCAAAGTCCGTGTACATTGCACAATGATTGTGTTAATCACAGCAGCTAGGGTGGACGTGGCTGTGTTCACGTGTAGCTCTCAGGGTGGAGACGAAGTTGTAGCTAAAAGAAAATGAGATCCGCACTTAAGGCGCTGTAAAACTCAACGATTATGTGTAATGTACTGATGAACTAACTGGAACGGAGTGAGTGTTTCATTTTGCTTAATGCGCAACTGAACAAAATTTTAACATGCTTACAATTAATATCACTCGAGATCGGTCTTCTTTTTACCATATAGGTGATTGCTTTGCTGCATAATTTAATACATATTGCACATTTTTATCTATCTATCTATCTATCTGTTTAATTCATTTTCATTCTTAAACAATGCAATATTTGTTTGTTTTTTTATTTGGGGGATGTGCTGTTAAATTTTCCGTAGGAAAATGGCAAAAAGGTAAGCTTACCTCTCTCCCCCTTTTATTTTCTGGTGCATTCCCGATCTTTGGTCTCTCTATTTTAAACTCCCGCTGCGGGTGGAGAGTCCCCGTGAGCAACGTATCCCAGCCAAAAAGATCAGACTCTGACTCTGAATACGATAAAAACAATGGGTAATAATCGGAATACATTGATATTTAGGCATCACATCATCATCATCATCATCATCACCATAATAATAATAATATTATTAATAATAATAATAATAATACCCGTATAAAATGTTCAGTAGACTTTACATGGGTAAAATGAACAGAATTAGATGAATAAAGTCAATAAATAAATAGGTAGTTAATATATTGAGATATTAAATGTAAATAAACATATGGACAAAATACATGTATAATTTGACAACAATGTTTCCGAGGCCTTCAACAAAATTATACAATTTTATATTAAATGTAACTTATCCAGCTGTCAAAAGCCATCTTGAATGTCACACGCCACTTAAAAGCAATAGAAACTACTATAATAACCGCACTTACTCAACATTTCTTTCACATATACCTACCAGTATATATAAACATTAATGGACAGTATAACAGTATTCCTCATTCAGGATTCACGTGACACCCAAACCACGTGACATCTGACCCAGGTGACACCTACCGTCTTTTCCGACCCAGTGATCCCTGTTTTCGTAAGCAGGGAGGACCCCGAACCGATCCCTGTGGAGGTGATCGTCACTGGAGCCCGAGCTTGAGCCGCGGCTACTGCTGACGGTGGTGGTACTGTGCACTCCTCCTTTGCCCAAATAGCGCCAGTAAGGGGTGTACTTGGGGTGAAAGACGCCAGTGGCTGGACCATAGGAATCTGCTAAATACCTGCCGGGATTTACAAAAGACGCTGTAAGAACAGTGTTTTCCCCAAGACTAAGCAGTTTTTAAAATATTTAGATTAATTCAAAACGTAATTCAACATATGAAACGAAATTCAATGCACAGAAGGTGCGCACATTAAACTAACTACACTAATTACATTACGGTTCTGTATCTTTCTCGATCATTTATTTGTCGCTGCTATTAATTTGCAAGCCGTGTTAATTGTGGCAAATATACAACATTTCGTGCCGACTTCTTACCTGCGGTACCTCTCCGAACGGTGCAGCCTCTTCTCTTTTGCCTTCCTTCTCTTAAAAATGATGACAGCGATGAGGATGCAGATGGCCACAATCAGCGCCACTCCGCCCACGGTGCTGGCTGCTACAATGGCGATCTCGTCCTGGGTCAGTCCCACCTTGGTCTCACAGAGGTCGCCACTGAATCCCGTCTCGCACCTAGAGACATTGAGATGTTATTTAAGTACAGTATATCGGATTATATAACTTGGGTGTAAGCATGTGTAAGCATCGGCGGTAATCAATTGCGATTTGTTCTTCGGACACCTACCAGCGCAGGGTATGGAGACATAGAATCATATAACACAAACGGGCAAAGAGGGAAATTGTCAAAAATGAGCAGTAACACTGAATTTTCTTCTAATTTTCAGTAACACTGAATTTTCTTACGTTTTTTATTTTTTATTTTTATTTATATATCTATTAATTATTATTTTCGTTATTATTATTATTACTATTATTTGAATTTTGGCACTTATTAAAGACGGTGGTATACTGTATTGAACTTCTGCAAAACTGAAACGAAATAAAAGGAAGAAACGAGAGTAAGACTTACTTGCAGTACCAGCGACCGCGAGTATCGTCCGGGTTACACTGGCCGTTGTTTTGACAGCCATATACTTCACAAGGTTTCAGGATTTCTGGAATGTTGAAGAAAATTTACTTTGACTGAACTTTGATTTTGATAACCGGCGTAACAATGCCAAATCGACTACATTGTAATAACCTTTTGTATATTCGTAACACGTACATCCCCATGTTTTCTCATTGCAAGCCCCACATGTATGCATATGCCGAACCTTAACATAATTTACATAATTTAACATAATTTGTATATAATGCAACTTTAACATGGGCATGTTTAAGTCTCCAGTTTGACTTACCGCCAGCAAATGTTGGTGTTCCGATAACTGAGAACTCGGTTTCTCCGGAAGAAAGGGTATAACTATCACTCTTCAGTTTTTGCAGAATATACTCTTGCACAATCCTTTTGTTTTCGTTGAGGTCTTGGCCAGTGGTGTTCACTTTAATCTGGTGTTCAACAAACAAGCTGCCATGGCTGAAATTGTGTTGTTTGATTTCACTTTTAAAATGAGCAGTACAAAATATCATAAATGTAATACAGAGCTTCAATATGTGTGTGCCGCTGTGTCTACATGTACGTGTCGCGACACGGCTTGGGAATAACATAGTAGTTTGCCACAAATATTATATACGTCACCGAGTTTACCGTTATATTTTCTCAAGATTAATTCTTAACATTATGGCAGCATGTCAAATCGCAGACAAAAACGACAGGGAGTATACATGTATAGGTATCAATCAATAAAAATGTACGCCACTTACATTACGCTTGTTATATTCAGATCTATGAAACCAGCTAGGGAATTGTAAAATGCTTTTAACTGAAAAACAAATAAAAAACGGACGTTAACACTGTGTTTTATGCACAGACCGGACCATATGTCTCGGTTATGAGTACTGAGCATATCCACATTTCCAATTCTTAAAAAATCAACACAAAAAGATGTCAAATAATTTAGAAATCTAGACACCAAAAAAGGTTTTAAAAATGCATGACTTTAGCCTCTAAAAGTAACTATGCAAAGCTGGAAATTATAAAGATATCTAAATATGAATTCTTCATCCATTACAATTAACTATGCTTTAATTATTTGGGTATGGCGAACAAATATTAGCTTACGGCGCTGTCCAGGATATTAAACTCTGCCGAAGAGCGACTCAAGTATTTTGATGGATCCTTAACGCTCAGTGTTATATTAACTGAAACAAAAGATTGAAAATATAATGTTAATGTCATATATCATTGTGAGCTGGTCTTATCTCCCTATAATCACACTGTTTCAACGAAAAAGGGAGGACTGGCTTGATTTTTAATCTCTTTCTTTCTCAAGCACACAATCACAAACACGCGCGCACACACACACACACGCATATATACATATGCAAATGCACACACACTGTATATATACATATACAAATGCACACACACACACACACACACACACACACACACACGCACGCACGCACGCACGCACGCACGCACACACACACACACACGGCTAAAAACCAGAGGTGATATGCACCGTACATACCGGTATATTGCGTCTCTCTGTCACATCTGGTGCCACTTCCGTAATAACCAGCTTTACACACGCACCGGAAACTTCTCACACTGTTGATGCATGTGGCATTCTCATGACAATTGCCATTATTCACTAAACACTCGTTTATATCTGGAAAATACAATTAAAATAATTTTTTATCCTACATGTCTTTTATGATAAATTCTCTATCAAGAGCTCTTAAAGCAAAGCATAACATAACAACTACTGTCGCAAATAATATCAAATATCCATTAAAGGTATAAGTAAAACAAGAGTTACATCTAAACATGGCACTTGCAGCTAGCCTGTCATTACGTCCCACCGCACACCCAATGTCTTCTTATTTGTACTGTATTACACGGACTATAAGGCGGTGTTCGACAGTTCACATGATGATTTCACGCCACACGGGTGGCAAACGTACTTCCATTAACTTCCAAGAGTGCATTTGCTGTTATTTTGAATAACCATCACACGTTTGTGCGTTCGAGTGTGTGGAGGGGGGGGGGGGGGGGGGGTAGGGGGGGAGCGTGCAAGCCTAACATGTAACTCCGTTCATTGTAAACGCTTAAAGTTTAATAGGTTATTAATACCTGTGACGCCTCCAATCACCAGCGCAGGTGTGGTTATCAGGGTGAACGAAGCGCTAAGATCTGGGTCAGGTAATACTTGATTAATCTGCTGAACTTTCTCTAGGATGTACACAGAGATACTCCGAGTAGTCTCGTTCTCTGGGGCGGTAGTGTTCAGTTGGACGGTGAAATCAACCACTAAGCTGCCATTTCTAAAATGCAAGTAGTTTTTTTGTCATTTTTTGTATATCATACAATCTGTTTGCTTAATAAGTTTGGTGAAATGATGGATAATCTCTCTCTCTCTTTTCTTGCGCGCGCACATCCACGAATATTGCATACACACACTCACACTAGCACACGCACACATAATTGTCACGCAATCTCATAATTACAAACCAAACCGATTACACAATGCACACACGTTTCAAATGTAATTTTAGAATAAAACTCATCAAAGTCATATTAATGGCAAACAATCTGATATCCCAGTTAGTGGTAGTGGTATCATAAATGTGAGGATTGTAACGTGACAGAGAGTCCCCCATGATCTCGACCTTGATTTTGACCACTTAGGTCAAACTAACCCTAACCGTTATAACTATACTGACGGTCAATGAAAACGCATCATTCATTTATCAAATTATATTTTTGTTCCTTTGGCACATTAAGAAAATAACAGTTTTCGTGTGAAATATGGCCCATTACCCAGTCACACAAGGTGAAATAAAGGCCAGAAAAGTTCATTAAAATGTAATGTCACAGATGTCAATTGTTATAACTAGTGCTTTTTTATTCCAGATACCATGTCTAACATGATAAATGGTTCAAAAAATACAAAATAGTGGTGACAATATACATATTTTATACCATTTAGTCAAATTTATAACAGGTACCCCCTCAAATCCAATGTTTCACTGCGATTTCTACATATGTAAAGAAATGTCTAATTAATTGAAAAGACGTCATTAAATGTCACCAAATTTACACACAATGAGCATTAGGATGTGCTCGTTAAAGTGTCTAAAAGCGTGTGTGTCTACCACGTACTGCAATTATCTCCTTCAACAAGGGTAAAAATTCTGTTTCGTGGGATATTATCCAATTCTTCCTAAACAGCTTGGGGGAGTTGGTTCATGTTTTTATGGGTTGGTTCTCCTCTGCATTGCACACAATTCATGTCACAGGTGATTAGTAAGGTTAATATCAGGGCTCAAAGATTCCATGATTCCATGGTGATTCCATGCATCCTTAGAACATTGTGTTTCTACAACAAATCACTTGCCAGGCGAGAAGTGTGAGCAAGTGTGCTGTTATGATGAAGCCTAGAGTTTACCCCAAAGTCAGTTCTTGAAGATGGAGTGAGATGTCATCTGAGAATGCTACGTTCAGTGATCCCACAAGGACCTGAACCTGGCCATCCATCACTGAAAGTCGGTTTTGCTGCAGAATCAAATTATTTCTTGTATCGCGTTGATAGTCAAATGACGGTCCGTAGACATGTTGAAAAATGCCTCTTGAAAGGGTGTGTGCAGGATAATGTCGCCTGAGGTGTTAAATCAGTCGGCATTTGGGGAACATTCCAAGCCCGTGGTATTAGTACATTGTTCCCTCTGGAACTAAACTTAACTGTGTCATTTTACGGCAACATTCTCAACAGATAGCTCACTCCATTTGCAAGAGGTCACTTCAGGGATGCTACCGGCTTCATTGTGACAACGCACTTGCTCACAGCTCTTGTCTGGCAAGTGATTTCTTGCTGAAACACAGGGCTCTAAGGATGGGACAACCGTCTTTGAGTCCTGATATTAATCCTACCGTGCACCTGTGGCATTAATTGGAATGTGCATGGCAGAGGAGAACCAATTCCAAAATAATCTGGACCAATTCTGCCACGCTCTTTAGGATTGATGGCGCAATATTCCACAAAACAGAATTATTACCCTTGTTGAAGGCTTGTCGCGCCATCTACAGGAGATAATTGCAGTACGCGGTAGACGCACACGTTATTACGCACGTGACCTTTAACAAGCACATCCTAATGCAAATTATGTGTAAATTTGGTGACATTTGATGGCGTCTTTTCAATTTTATAGACACTTCTTTACATCTGTGGAAATCACAGTGAAACATTGGATTTGAGGGGGTACCTGTTATAAATTTGACTAAATGGTATAAAATGTGCATATTCACACCAGTAATTTTTATTTTTTAACTATTTATCATGTTAGACATGGTATCTAGAATAAAAAGCACCGTTTATAACAATATACACCTGTGAGGTGATCATTTGTAAATAAAAGTACATGAAAATGGGGGTGGGACAACCTTTTTGACCAATGTTGTATATTGAACCTGATTAATTCATACCAATCAAACAGGAATAACGCATGATTTTGTTACAGCTGATCACAAAATCACTGAAGCGGACATTTTAAACTTCCGAATGGTCAGCCCACTCTCTTATGACCAAACAAGTGCATTTGTTCATATTTATATGGTTGGAATCAATTCTCGGTAAAAAAAAAGTACAAGAAAGTTTTCTGGTGCGCTTTCAGTATATATTGTGGGCGGACTCTCTGTTACACGGACGCCCAGTTTCGTTACACTTGTAAATCTTGATACATACGTATAGTGTACCCTTGGATAAGTAGGAAAAGTAGGATACAATGTATCCCTCTATATTTTGTATGTATTGTATCAAGAGTTGCCACTATCATTATATATATATATATATATATATATATATATATATATATCACCTTATCCTCGTTATAACCAGTTCAATGAAGCCTGGGTAATCTGAGAAGAATGCCCTAAGCTGAAAAAGAAACAAAAAAAGTAAATTAAATTTTTCTCAAGCAAACGCAAGTGATTTTTTATTATCAATATAATTATTAAGAAACCGGTCCATAATAAACGAACAAGGTTTCTGTTTAGGAAATAACATTGCCCAAAAAGTTAGATATTGCAGAAACAATGTGTCATACATTATGTTATATTAATTTTAAAAAAAGGATTACAGCTTCATTATTAATATGTTGTACTAACCGTTCGCAGTAATACATTATAGTTTGTTGCACCCGTTTTATAGCCGTCTGGGTCAAAGGTTCTATTAAAAGTCATTGTCACTGAAACAAAATATTATTGGGTGCATAAGTTACCATGCACACACCCGGCAAACATAGAACGTTTTATAACGTTACCATAACGTGGCCATACCGTTTTTTTTTTTTTTTTTTTTTTTTTTTTTTTTTTTTTTTTTTTTTTTTTTTTGGTAAAATTTACGTTATGGTAATTATATATAAGAACGTTATGTGCTTGCTGGGTAAGAGGCAAAACCGTTTGTCCACAATCACAGTATGCAGATTATAAATATTTGTAAATATATTATAAAGAAATTTTAAGCAAGAAAATACACATAAATATGATTGTCTAACTGTGCAAAACAGAAGTAGAAATATCCGCTTTCTCACAAACAAATAGAGAGAGAGAGAGAAAGAGAGAGAGAGAGACCTTTAACAGTTTGCAGTTGCAGACAGTTAATTCCATCTCCCACATAGCCGTCTTTGCAAGCACACGTGTAACTCCCCACAGTGTTAGCACAATCGGCGTTTGAGCTGCAATTGTTGATCGTCCTGCACTCATCAATGTCCGAGCACGTCTGGCCGTTGCCAGAGAATCCAGGATCGCATGCGCACGTGTATGAACCAATGGTGTCCCTACACGTGGCGTTTGTATGGCAAGGCGTCGTCAAGCATTCGTCGACATTGGTGCACGTTTGGCCGTCACCGCTGTAGCCTTGGTTGCATGCGCACGTGTAGTTACCAAATGTATTTGTGCACTGGGCGTTGGAGGCACAATTGTTGGTTGCGTCACATTCGTTTATATCTGCAACAGGTAATGTAACACTACATGTACATCAATACAGCGTCTATTGAATAGCAAAAGCTCAACATCTTTTTATTACTGTAACCTTAAAGGTTAAGACAGTTTTGAAATTGTTACTCTTCTCAAATACTGTTATTCATTTTTCTCAGTCACTAGTGTATATCAATATAAATAAGAGTGTACATGCGCGCATACACATACTGCGGTGCAATTACATTTGAAAGGGAGGCGAAACACTGACCGTTACAAGTTCTCTGGTCACTCTGTTCCAGCAAGAACCCGCTTTTACAACTACACGTGTAGCTACCGTCGTTGTTGTTACATGTGCTGGTGTTACTGTTACAGGAATCGGTACCCTTTGTACATTCGTCGATATCTAGAATACAACATTTGATGTTAATTTTTGGTAGATGTTATGTCAGTATCGGTCATTGTCATAATCGATGCTCGTGGGGGGTTGGTTTTATTTTTACTACATGTAGTAACTTCACACCTACGAGTATTCTGCAGTAAGTGAATTATACCACACATAATCAATATCAATATGACACAACTGACAGGATCTACAACTGTATGGAACCAAGGTCAATTATTTCAGAGCAATGTTTTTCTCTAATCGTAGAAGTAAAAAATATACGGAGTTTGTAAACCATTGCTTTATTCACATAATAACTGTCCAGAAGATAACAGCTTTATCCTGTAAATAGGTTTACACATAGGGCAGCGTTTTTCAGCGTTGATGAAACCGGGCTCAGAGGTCCCCAAACGTACATGAATTTTTTTTCAGAGGCGGATTTAGAGGGGGTGGGGGGGGGGGGGTCCTTACGCCCTTCGGTTTCTAAAAGATCACACTAATATTCCCATCTTGGAATTAGAATATTGACTAGCTGATTTGTAGTACTAAACCGTACCAAATGGTACCGTTCGGCCTCTCAAATCCCCCACGTTAAACATTATTATTCATAGACATATATCCCAATTCTAATGCTGAATACAACCAGGCACGACGCCTTCATCAGCCCACTCTAAAAAACAACATTCTAGACCATTTTCCATAGGGTTTCACTGCTGGAAAGTGCAGCTCCTGTGAGTGACACAAAATATTAATATATGTCAAAAAATTCGCTCACCTATGCAGGTCTCATTGCCTTGCAGCTTGTAGCCACTGCGGCAGAAACACACGGGTGGACTCGCTGTAGCATTACACAAACTCTGGTTACAGTTCAGCCCGGCATCAATACAAACTTGGAGGGAAGCATTCGACACTGGAAATGTAGGATAGCAGAGGTGGTGAGAAATTGTGTGTGCTTGTTTCAAACAAAAGTGTTCATTAAATCTGAAGGTAATGTAAAGTCTACAACAGTATATTTATATCAGAATTGTCAACAATTTTAATGGCCTTTTTAAGCGTCCGTTTCAAATTCACCTTTGTTACATGTGTATCCATTGAGAGCCAATTGATAATCCGAGTTGAAGCAAGAACATCTGAAGCTCCCCACAGTGTTGGAACATACGTGGTCACAGTTGTCCGTCTGCAGCGAACACTCGTCTACGTCTAGAAAATTAAATTAGAACAATTTCGTACTGTCGTTGATGTTATCAAATGTTGATAACAGTTTATCCTCTGTCATTTAGATCTTTAAAAAATGTGTCCACTGTCCCTGAGCCCATGTATAATACAAGAATATGCAAGTGACAAGGAATATGTACAATACACCAGTTTGCTACTTGCTCTGAAACACGGTGATTAAAAAGATATAAAATTTCAGCAAAAGAAATGTAACCAATTAGATTTTTGCCGTCCATTCTTTCTATGTTTCGGAGGTAATTTTACGCGCGCACATACACGCGTAAAATTACAAAGACACAAACGGCGCCCACACAGATACAAGAGAACACAGTCCTCGTTGGGTCAATACGCCATATTATTATTGTAAGCATGTTTCAGCCGATGTGATCAAGTTCGAGGGGACGCGTGCTTTGTGTGTCTGCATGAGAGAGAGAGAGAGAGAGAGAGAGAGAGAGAGAACTTACCGGTACAATGTGTTGAGTTGGACAGAGTGTATCCGTCATTACAGCGGCAGGAAAAGCTGCCCAGGGTGTTAACACAGAGCTGCTCACAGTTGTCTGTGCCATCATTACACTCGTTGATATCTGCAATGTACAGAACACCATAGCCACCATATATCTAGTACTGGACGAAGTAATGAAACAACGATAAGGCCCGTAGCCAGGGGGGGCGGGGAAAGTTCCGCTCTGGGCAAAATTGAACAAAGGTTGAAGGTTTGAAAGGTCCACGTAGAAAAAGGCCCATCCCTTTGAAAATACTGGATATGGGCCTGCTGATAAATCAGTAGATGCACCTCCTGTACTCTCTCTTGGCTTATTGTTGATTATAACTTTTAAATTATAAACTCCAAAGGGATAGCAATCCTCACCTCACTAAAAACAAAATAATGTTGGTTCTAAAGGTATTGTATATACGATCACTTACCAATGCACTGTTGGTTTGTATCCATGATATATCCAGGGAGACAGGAGCAGTCATATGACCCGACTGTGTTATTGCACCTCGAGTTACTACCGCATATCGTGGCATTCAGCACGCACTCGTCGATGTCCGTATTGCAGCCAAGTCCTTCGTAACCGGGGACACAGTCGGTACAACCCACTACGCTGTCACAGCGCCGGGAACGGACGCCACAGTCGCAGAGGTTGGCGCAGTTCGGGCCCCAGTGGGTGCTGTCACACGCTGGAATATTTGATTATACACATTAATATTTATTTGATAGCAATGGATAGAAATGATGAGCGAGATATCACATTAACCTTTAAATATATGACATATAAAATCAAATCGCCCGGGTCTTCATGTCCCGTTAAAATGTTCGCTTAAGATTATCTACACATATTCACCTGTGCACGTTCTCAAGTCAGAGGCAAGTGAAAACCCGACTGGGCATGCGCAGGAGTACCCTCCCTGAGTGTTCTGACAGGTTGTGTTGGGATTACACTGGTTGTCAGTGACGCATTCGTCGATATCTGGATAGCAAAAAAATCATGAAATGGATAACATCACGATGGGATGGTGTGTCACAACGCGAGGTTCTGGAAAAAAACGTTATTGCTCAACTTCTGCCAGCTTGCAGATACCAGGCAATATATTCAACGTAAAATTATTTTAGACGGTAATCATTTTAATTACTAAATTTATCTGTGCAGTTTTGGACATTCCATAGAAATAAACATGATACGACTTTATCGTGGGAACGCGATATCGTACTTTCTCCTCAAGCCAAACATTCATATATTTGATGTTGTTTTAGTATAATTTTTAAACATATCAATAAAATTAAAAGAAAATAAAAAAAAATGAAAGCCATTTATATTTAAGTCATAACTTTTTTTGATAATCTGTTAGTGGATAGAACGACACCAGGGGTTTATATAAAAAATCTAACTACACCTTTGTATGGATGATATAATCAAACGAATCCAAATCTATTAATAACAGTAACAAAAATTAACCGCGAGTAACATATACCCGAATGAATTAAGACCATATTCTTACACCCATGACATAGGTATATTTCTCTTGTTATTCGTCATAATACATGATAAGAGCTTAATAATTACCGTCACACGTGATGCCGTCATCTACCAGAGTGTAACCAGGGGGACAGAAGCAAGTTGCGGCGCCATTTTTGTTGTAACAGGAGGCTGGAGACACACACGGGCTGCTGGCACACACCGCGGCATCTATTAATAAGAAAAACGTAGATATAAATTTTAACGAGATTTAGGATTTGAGCTCGATGAGGTCATCATATTTTTTAAAAAATGAATGCTAACGATTGGCAATTTTGCGAACAATGCATTGAACGTTCATCAAGCATGCGTGCTATAAAGAAAAACAAATAGAAAGGCATAATCGCTGAGAGTTAAGTATAAAAGCCCTTTAACCAAAGTCGAAAAATAAGCACAAGGCTCGACTTGACGCCAAAGAGAATAAATTCATTATTTGCAGAAGGTTGGTATGTACCTGTACATCTCGGTTTGGTTTTCGGGGTACGTAATAAATATTTCGTTTTAAACAATTCGCGATACGTTTACCTCCCCATAATCGTTTATATAACACGATGGCCTAGAACGATGTTAAACGTATGGTAATCTATAGATGAGCATTTTATCTGCTAATTTGTATGCCTACGTATCCTTTGTCTCGATCAATTAGACAATTCTTGTTTAATTCAGTAAAATGCATTGATCCGCATTGGCTATACCTACAGTAATGTATACAAACCTGTCAATGTGCAAGATTTCCCATTTGCAGTATAGCCATTGCGACAAGAGCAAGAGAAGTTCCCAATGGTATTGGTACAGAGCTGCTCACAGCCATCTGTTCTAGCGGCACACTCGTCAAAATCTAAAAGACAAACACGGTGATGAGAACCCGAGGAATTATTTTCAAGGTATGGCGTAATTCTGATACATATTCATTTTCCCTAAATATTCTGATACTTCTACCCACACAGATGCACACCCCACAAATACACATAACGCCATGACTTTAAGCTATAGTGTGTAATGTGAAACTCTGAAAATAAGGTATCAATACATTAAAACTAATCAGATAAAAAAAATGTCCCTACCGACACAGGTCCTCGGGTCTGTGTTTTTGTACCCAGTGTCACATTCACAAGTATACGAGCCTTCTGTGTTCACACATCTGGAGATGGACGCATTGCAGGCATTGTTGCTCTCATTCAGGCATTCGTCGATATCTACGATGAAATAATGTAGTGTTATCTTAGTGTTCTTTGGACGTTTAACGTACCAGTTCAAATACAGTTCTCCTAAAGGTATTGTATTGAAATAATATGGTCTTATAGGAGAAACATTTTGTAGATGTAAATACTATCTTAATAATAATCATAATGTTCGGTGTGTGTCTGTGCGTGTGCGTGTGCGTAAGTGCGTGCGTGTCCGCGTTTGCGTGCCACATAATCCAGATCTGGTATCCGGTCAATTTAAATCCATTCAGTGTGTAAGGTCCAGCATTGAGGAAACACATTAACATGTGCACATGCATGCAAGAACGAGTGTATGCTCAAACGCAAACACTCGTATCTAGTTGACAATATGTGTGTACCTTTGCATTTCGCCCCCACAGTTTCATAGTTGGGTGGACACGTGCAATTGAAGCTTCTGTTCAGTGCCACTTCCTCCGCAGGTGCGAGGTCAGTACAAGTTGCTATGGCGGGACAAGGTTGCGCAGCACAGCCATCTACTTCTCGTTCACAGTCGTTTCCTGAAAACGAGACCACATTGGATTACGCATGCTTGTTTGTTTTTCAAATGTTACCACCACTACCAACCGTCTAGCCAAAGCCTCAATAGCACAGTTTCAAGAACAGAAACCTTCCAATTGGAACATAACACCATGGACAAAAAATGGTTATTCTTCCTATGACAATACACAGATGCATCAGGCTTACCTGTGTAGCCCGTGTCACATGAGCACTCCACCAGCCGAACACTGGAGTCGATGAGTTGACCTGGTCGCAGCTGGTCAAACAAACACGTGCCATTACCGCTGCAACCAGAACAGAGGTTAGCCGTCCAAGTGACCGTGGTGGATCCTCCCCTCGTGTCTGTCAGGGTTACCCTGGTGACAGAAAAATACACATGGACGCACATCATGAGACATGTAGAACATTGTGTGGGAAAACCGGGAGCCTTCCTCATTCAGGAGTCCAAAATGACTTTACTTGTAAATAATTAAAATCATTTCACAGTTTTTAAGGATACCAAGAAGAATATTTTGATGATAAAACAAAATCGCTCTACTTGTTTAAGAACGTTTGGCATTGTAAGTAACTAACCCGATTGATTGTGTTACGCTGACGCTCGCCAGATTGATACTAATTGTCACAGATGACTCACTGGGTGCCGCAATTTTTACGCCAGTGATGTTATTAGTTATACTCGGCGTCACAGTGTCACCGCTATCAGGATCCGTGAAACTGACGGTGTAATTTCTCGCCTGGTTGAGTGTTAGCTGTAGAGGCGTCGACACATTGGACGTGAATCTCGGGCTCTGGTTTTCTGGAAACCAAAAAAAAAAACAAACGATTAGGAAGTCTGAGCGACCTGTATGACAAAATGATCCACATATCCTGGGTGGAATGGTAATAATCAGAGATAAACGAAGTGATGTTTTTGAGATTAAATTTTCAATACACTTCCTGTTATCTGTGGAGTGCGTTGTATCGCTTACGGTAATTACGTGTCCTGTAGGTGACTCCTCCCTGCCCGACATGTCCAATCACCCCTACCGTTTCTCTACACTTCATTTTTAACGACATATGTGCCTCTATTTTGTGAATATAGGCCCAATGAAGACTCATTTTATAATATTAACCTGCATGCAAACTCTGGCAACAGCAAGTGATGGATTTATGTTATAAAATAATTGTCCAACATATCCAGAAACCAGAGGTGCCAATACCAGTGGAAATGCAATCAAAGGTAATTATAATACCAATGCACGCACCTGCTTCAGAACTACTTGACTCGCTCTCAGTGTTGAACATCTTGGTGCCCTCGGCCAGCGCCTCGTCTCCCGTGACCACGAAGTCATATATGCACTGCTTATCACCGCCACATATACTAACTGCATTGCGATAATTGCCAGGATATGTGCTGTTCAGATCTTCCGTGAATGTTGGCATGAACACAGTGTTTGTAAAGTTGGCTGTTGAATACCCGGACCCGTAGTAGAATATAGATTCCCCATCAGTGATTCGCCCTGTAAAATGACATGATAATAAGCTCCAGATATCAATGCAACTCAATGACTTGTTCTGCGTTCACCGAAATTGTCAATTTGCTATATGGTTAGAATTTGGGCTAATTTATTGTATAATTGTATAAAATGTCAATTTGCTATATGGTCAGAATATAGGCTTATTTATTGTATAATATTTATTCTGCTACAGCATATAGAAAAAAAAACGTGTTCCTTGTGAATATAAATATACACGCNGGTAAAGTCTACAACAGTATATTTATATCAGAATTGTCAACAATTTTAATGGCCTTTTTAAGCGTCCTTTTCAAATTCACCTTTGTTACATGTGTATCCATTGAGAGCCAATTGATAATCCGAGTTGAAGCAAGAACATCTGAAGCTCCCCACAGTGTTGGAACATACGTGGTCACAGTTGTCCGTCTGCAGCGAACACTCGTCTACGTCTAGAAAATTAAATTAGAACAATTTCGTACTGTCGTTGATGTTATCAAATGTTGATAACAGTTTATCCTCTGTCATTTAGATCTTTAAAAAATGTGTCCTCTGTCCCTGAGCCCATGTATAATACAAGAATATGCAAGTGACAAGGAATATGTACAATACACCAGTTTACTACTTGCTCTGAAACACGGTGATTAAAAGGATATAAAATTTCAGCAAAAGAAATGTAACCAATTAGATTTTTGCCGTCCATTCTTTCTATGTTCCGGAGGTAATTTTACGCACGCACATACACGCGTGCGTACAAAGACACAAACGGCGCCCACACAGATACAAGAGAACACAGTCCGATTGGTTTTCACAGCCATCTAAGTCCTCGTTGGGTCAATACGCCATATTATTATTGTAAGCAAGTTTCAGCCGATGTGATCAAGTTCGAGGGGACGTGCTTTGTGTGTCTGCATGAGAGAGAGAGAGAGAGAGAGAGAGAGCAGAAAGAGAGAGAACTTACCGGTACAATGTGTTGAGTTGGACAGAGTGTATCCGTCATTACAGCGGCAGGAAAAGCTGCCCAGGGTGTTAACACAGAGCTGCTCACAGTTGTCTGTGCCATCATTACACTCGTTGATATCTGCAATGTACAGAACACCATAGCCACCATATATCTACATGTAGTACTGGACGAAGTAATGAAACAACGATAAGGCCCGTAGCCAGGGGGGCGGGGAAAGTTCCGCTCTGGGCAAAATTGAACAAAGGTTGAAGGTTTGAAAGGTCCACTTAAAAAAAGGCCCATCCCTTTGAAAATACTGGATATGGGCCTGCTGATAAATCAGTAGATGCACCTCCTGTACTCTCTCTTGGCTTATTGTTGATTATAACTTTTAAATTATAAACTCCAAAGGGATAGCAATCCTCACCTCACTAAAAACAAAATAATGTTGGTTCTAAAGGTATTGTATATACGATCACTTACCAATGCACTGCTGGTTTGTATCCATGATATATCCAGGGAGACAGGAGCAGTCATATGACCCGACTGTGTTATTGCACCTCGAGTTACTACCGCATATCGTGGCATTCAGCGCGCACTCGTCGATGTCCGTATTGCAGCTGAGTCCTTCGTAACCGGGGACACAGTCGGTACAACCCACCACGCTGTCACAGCGCCGGGAACGGACGCCACAGTCGCAGAGGTTGGCGCAGTTCGGGCCCCAGTGGGTGCTGTCACACGCTGGAATATTTGATTACACACATTAATATTTATATGATAGCAATGGATAGAAATGATGAGCGAGATATCACATTAACCTTTAAATATATGACATATAAAATCAAATCGCCCGGGTCTTCATGTCCCGTTAAAATGTTCGCTTAAGATTATCTACACATATTCACCTGTGCACGTTCTCAAGTCAGAGGCAAGTGAAAACCCGACTGGGCATGCGCAGGAGTACCCTCCCTGAGTGTTCTGACAGGTTGTGTTGGGATTACACTGGTTGTCAGTGACGCATTCGTCGATATCTGGATAGCAAAAAAATCATGAAATGGATAACATCACGATGGGATGGTGTGTCACAACGCGAGGTTCTGGAAAAAACGTTATTGCTCAACTTCTGCCAGCTTGATACCAGGCAATGTATTCAACGTAAAATTATTTTAGACGGTAATCATTTTAATTACTAAATTTATCTGTGCAGTTTTGGACATTCCATAGAAATAAACATGATACGACTTTATCGTGAGAACGCGATATCGTACTTTCTCCTCAAGCCAAACATTCATATATTTGATGTTGTTTTAGTATAATTTTTAAACATATCAATAAAATTAAAAGAAAATAAAAAAAATGAAAGCCATTTATATTTAAGTCAATAACTTTTTTTGATAATCTGTAAGTGGATAGAACGACACCAGGGGTTTATATAAAAATCTAACTACACCTTTGTATGGATGATATAATCAAACGAATCCAAATCTATTAATAACAGTAACAAAAATTAACCGCGAGTAACATATACCCGAATGAATTAAGACCATATTCTTACACCCATGACATAGGTATATTTCTCGTGTTATTCGTCATAATACATGATAAGAGCTTAATAATTACCGTCACACGTGATGCCGTCATCTACCAGAGTGTAACCAGGGGGACAGAAGCAAGTTGCGGCGCCATTTTTGTTGTAACAGGAGGCTGGAGACACACACGGGCTGCTGGCACACACCGCGGCATCTATTAATAAGAAAAACGTAGATATAAATTTTAACGAGATTTAGGATTTGAGCTCGATGGGGTCATCATATTTTTTAAAAAATGAATGCTAACGATTGGCAATTTTGCGAACAATGCATTGAACGTTCATCAAGCACGCGTGCTATAAAGAAAAACAAATAGAAAGGCATAATCGCTGAGAGTTAAGTATAAAAGCCCTTTAACCAAAGTCGAAAAATAAGCACAAGGCTCGACTTGACGCCAAAGAGAATAAATTCATTATTTGAAGAAGATTGGTATGTACCTGTACATCTCGGTTTGGTTTCCGGGGTACGTAATAAATATTTCGTTTTAAACAATTCGCGATACGTTTACCTTCCCATAATCGTTTATATAACACGATGGCCTAGAACGATGTTAAACGTATGGTAATCTACAGATGAGCATTTTATCTGCTAATTTGTATGCCTACGTATCCTTTGTCTCGATCAATTAGACAATTCTTGTTTAATTCAGTAAAATGCATTGATCCGCATTGGCTATACCTACAGTAATGTATACAAACCTGTCAATGTGCAAGATTTCCCATTTGCAGTATAGTCATTGCGACAAGAGCAAGAGAAGTTCCCAATGGTATTGGTACAGAGCTGCTCACAGCCATCTGTTCTAGCGGCACACTCGTCAAAATCTAAAAGACAAACACGGTGATGAGAACCCGAGGAATTATTTTCAAGGTATGGCGTTATTCTGATACATATTCATTTTCCCTAAATATTCTGATACTTCTACCTACACAGATGCACACCCCACAAATACACATGACGCAAAGACTTTAAGTTATGATGTGTAAAGTGAAACTCTGATAATGAGGTATCAATACATTAAAACTAATCAGATATAAAAATGTCCCTACCGACACAGGTCCTTGGGTCTGTGTTTTTGTACCCAGTGTCACATTCACAAGTATACGAGCCTTCTGTGTTCACACATCTGGAGATGGACGCATTGCAGGCATTGTTGCTCTCATTCAGGCATTCGTCGATATCTACGATGAAATAATGTAGTGTTATCTTAGTGTTCTTTGGACGTTTAACGTACCAGTTCAAATACAGTTCTCCTAAAGGTATTGTATTGAAATAATATGGTCTTATAGGAGAAACATTTTGTAGATGTAAATACTATCTTAATAATAATCATAATGTTCGGTGTGTGTCTGTGCGTGTGCGTGTGCGTAAGTGCGTGCGTGTCCGCGTTTGCGTGCCACATAATCCAGATCTGGTATCCGGTCAATTTAAATCCATTCAGTGTGTAAGGTCCAGCATTGAGGAAACACATTAACATGTGCACATGCATGCAAGAACGAGTGTATGCACAAACGCAAACACTCGTATCTAGTTGACAACATGTGTGTACCTTTGCATTTCGCCCCCACAGTTTCATAGTTGGGTGGACACGTGCAATTGAAGCTTCTGTTCAGTGCCACTTCCTCCGCAGGTGCGAGGTCAGTACAGGTTGCTATGGCGGGACAAGGTTGCGCAGCACAGCCATCTACTTCTCGTTCACAGTCGTTTCCTGAAAACGAGACCACATTGGATTACGCATGCTTGTTTGTTTTTCAAATGTTACCACCACTACAAACCGTCTAGCCAAAGCCTCAATAGCACAGCTTCAAGAACAGAAACCTTGCAATTGAAACATAACACCATGGACAAAAAATGGTTATTCTTCCTATGACAATACACAGATGCATCAGGCTTACCTGTGTAGCCCGTGTCACATGAGCACTCCACCAGCCGAACACTGGAGTCGATGAGTTGACCTGGTCGCAGCTGGTCAAACAAACACGTGCCATTACCGCTGCAACCAGAACAGAGGTTAGCCGTCCAAGTGACCGTGGTGGATCCTCCCCTCGTGTCTGTCAGGGTTACCCTGGTGACAGAAAAATACACATGGACGCACATCATGAGACATGTAGAACATTGTGTGGGAAAACCGGGAGCCTTCCTCATTCAGGAGTCCAAAATGACTTTACTTGTAAATAATTAAAATCATTTCACAGTTTTTAAGGATACCAAGAAGAATATTTTGATGATAAAACAAAATCGCTCTACTTGTTTAAGAACGTTTGGCATTGTAAGTAACTAACCCGATTGATTGTGTTACGCTGACGCTCGCCAGATTGATACTAATTGTCACAGATGACTCACTGGGTGCCGCAATTTTTACGCCAGTGATGTTATTAGCTATACTTGGCGTCACAGTGTCACCGCTATCAGGATCCGTGAAACTGACGGTGTAATTTCTCGCCTGGTTGAGTGTTAGCTGTAGAGGCGTCGACACATTGGACGTGAATCTCGGGCTCTGGTTTTCTGGAAACCAAAATAAAAACGATTAGGAAGTCTGAGCGACCTGTATGACAAAATGATCCACATATCCTGGGTGGAATGGTAATAATCAGAGATAAACGAAGTGATGTTTTTGAGATTAAATTTTCAATACACTTCCTGTTATCTGTGGAGTGCGTTGTATCGCTTACGGTAATTACGTGTCCTGTAGGTGACTCCTCCCTGCCCGACATGTCCAATCACCCCTACCGTTTCTCTACACTTCATTTTAACGACATATGTGCCTCTATTTTGTGAATATAGGCCCAATGAAGACTCATTTTATAATATTAACCTGCATGCAAACACTGGCAACAGCAAGTGATGGATTTATGTTATAAAATAATTGTCCAACATATCCAGAAACCAGAGGTGCCAATACCAGTGGAAATACAATCAAAGGTAATTATAATACCAATGCACGCACCTGCTTCAGAACTACTTGACTCGCTCTCAGTGTTGAACATCTTGGTGCCCTCGGCCAGCGCCTCGTCTCCCGTGACCACGAAGTCATATATGCACTGCTTATCACCGCCACATATACTAACTGCATTGCGATACTTGCCAGGATATGTGCTGTTCAGATCTTCCGTGAATGTTGGCATGAACACAGTGTTTGTAAAATTGGCTGTTGAATACCCGGACCCGTAGTAGAATATAGATTCCCCATCAGTGATTCGCCCTGTAAAATGACATGATAATAAGCTCCAGATATCAATGCAACTCAATGACTTGTTCTGCGTTCACCGAAATTGTCAATTTGCTATATGGTTAGAATTTGGGCTAATTTATTGTATAATTGTGTAAAATGTCAATTTGCTATATGGTCAGAATATAGGCTTATTTATTGTATAATATTTATTCTGCTACAGCATATAGAAAAAAAACGTGTTCCTTGTGAATATAAATATACACACTGTAGACTTACCATGTGGTATACAATAGATTCACCAATGATCCAGCCAAAATCATATGATGCTTTACGTAACTATGACTGTGTTTTTTATTTCCGTCTTGTTGACAAAAAAATTAAAGGTGTGTAAATTAAAAAAAAAAGAAAAATACACAAACAAAATATTTAAAAGATAAAAAACTCACAAGATTCCCCAAAGCTGTAGAATATTTCTCTATCGTTGGCATCGCTTGGGAGCACGGTACCATTTTCAAGCATGAGATCATTTGTACTATTTCCATCAAAGTTCCCCATTAGTCCACGGACCTGGTTCATGTTTTCTGGGGGGATCACCACGGCAAACAAGAGAAGCTCTCTTCCTTTAGTGACATTCAAGGTTACTCCTGAAGACAATCACACGCAAGATATGTTACTTTATGAATCAAGAAAAATCGCAATGGTAATCTAGGAGTGATATTTTATGACATATTTTGTACATTTTTGAGTAAGTCCGAGTGGTGATTTGTGAATTGAAGAATACCCTGACCTTAATAGATGTGAGTCTACTGAGCACTTGGAATTTAAGAGAGAGAGAGAGAGAGAGAGAGAGATGTTTTTCTTACCGGAACCAAACGTGGCAATCAGTGTTTTAGACGTATCGTTATACTCCACTTCTAAATTGGTATAGCTTGCGCTTCCTGACTGCAGCAGAACAGGCGAGATAAGGTCACTTCCAACATAGACTGCCATATCTATAAAATATGATATAGAAAACGATTTATTAGAATACAAGAAAATCCCACATACACTTTCCAATGCATACCATTACATTCCAAAGTCAACCGACTTTCTCTGACGCTGGAATCGTCTTTATTTCTTCTGAGCTAAGATGTTTCTTCCTGCGAACGGATATTTTGAAATAGTCTTTATTCTCATTTTATAGGCTTATCACTTTTTACCTTGTTTGTCTTGTGTCAACTGTACATGTAAGCGGTCAGAAGTGTTGTCCTTGGCGGCAAAGGCACTGAACACAGTAGCATTAACTCCAGTGCCGTTCAACGAAATCGGTTCCAAACGGGTCTAATATAGATAAAGATGGTAGTTTATGCTTATGACTGTCTAGTTTTTTTAGGTCTGTACAAGTAAGATACGCCCAATTAGGTTATGTTACTTTCAAAGCAATGTCGAAAAGTCTTAACATTGCTGAGTACAAGAATCAATGTATATTTATTTCCTTTTAATCAGTGAAGACCTGCTTCAATTAGACGAAGATGAAACATATGATACACTAATCTTAACTGAAGCTAGCGAATCATCCTTTTGAAAATAAGGACACCATATGCATGCATTCCATATCCAATTCTTCGTATATGGACGTATCCCATTAAAACGAAGTTTAAGATAGTAAGGCAAGTAAGGAAGCAAGCACATGTATATATAGAACATAGTTTCTTTTATGATGTTTTATGATACCTACCTGCATAATGAAAGCACCATTCTTGATGTCTACCAGCTGGTATTCTCCGTGACCATTGAACGTATATTTAAACCCATCCAATGTGGTGAAATGGGGGTCCCCGTTGAACCAAGCTAGAACAAATACATTGCAGTTAAACCTGTTTGAATGTCAAATACCATGATGTGTACAGAGTTAAAAAACGTAATAAGACAACGAATCTTATTATTTGGGCTGCGAATATCATCTTAACGAACACTATATCAAATATAAACTTATCTTTGCTTTTCTTTTTTGAACAATTCAACAACTCCATTTCGAGTAATTGTACCTTAAATGTACCATTTTTTAAAAAATACATGAAGGGCCGCTCACCCCAAATCAATGGTCTGTATCCGAAGCAGGTGTCTATGGGGCGATACCGGAAGTATGTTTGGCAGTTGTCAGAAAGCCCACAGCACTGCTGTTTTGGTACATACTCATTAGAGAGGTACCTGGACCGCGAGGAGCGCTCGTGATACAGTTGCAAGGACCCTGCTGTGACGGTATTATCAGCCGTGATCAGCGACCATGACCAGAGGTTATAACAGCATTCCTGAATAAAGAACAACAACATTCCTTTCTAAAGTTATATATGCATATGGCTGTGGCCCGTTAGCGTATACGCCGTTGTCTAAGGTACAGACCAGCTTTATCCATATATGAAACATTCTGCATCTTTTAAATCCTACAGAAAAAAATCATTTGAACTATTTAATAATACCTATACTCAAACCGTATCAAACATGTGTACATATTCGTAGTACATATACGTGCTGAATGCATGGCCTAAGTTAAAAAACAGCCATGACTAGCTCCAGTATGGTAAGTCTTATTACAGACATGGCCAGAAGTGTTGTATCTCACCCGTCCTGCACGGTATCCATTGATCCGCGACGACCACCGGGTTACATAACACCACGTGTTCCTATAGGCTAGAAGATAATATAAACAGTTTTACAGCAACGTGTCCGGATATGAAATTGTTCTTAATATCTTCGGTCTTTTTTTTCACTGAGGTAGATTTAGACTTGCACAGTTTGTACCACTATTATAATAATGTTGCTCATTCTGATAAACTCAATCTGACGAATAGCTCGAACATCTCAGTTTATATATAGTAGCAGATGATGCATGGGCAATGGGTTAAACTTAAATAAATAAAGTCGCCGTTATAATCATNTGTTTTTCTTACCGGAACCAAACGTGGCAATCAGTGTTTTAGACGTATCGTTGTACTCCACTTCTAAGTTGGTATAGCTTGCGCTTCCTGACTGCAGCAGAACAGGCGAGATAAGGTCACTTCCAACATAGACTGCAATATCTATAAAATGTGATATAGAAAACGATTTACTAGAATACAAGAAAACCCCACATACACTTTACAATGCATACTATTACATTCCAAAGTCAACCAACTTTCTCTGACGCTGGAATCGTCTTTATTTCTTTACAAAGCATCTGAGCTAAGATGCTTATTCCTGCGAACAGATAATTTAAAATAGTCATTTTACTTATTTTATAGGCTTATCACATTTTACCTTGTTTGTCTTGTGTCAACTGTACATGTAAGCGGTCAGAAGTGTTGTCCTTGGCGGCAAAGGCACTGAACACAGTAGCATTACCTCCAGTGCCGTTCACCGAAATCGGTTCCAAACGGGTCTAAAATAAATAAAGATGGTGGTTTATGCTTATGACTGCCTAGTGTTTTTTTTTTTTTTTTTTGGGGGGGGGGTCTGTCCAAGTAAGATACGCCTAATTGAGTTGTGTTACTTTCAAAGCAATGTCGAAAAGTCAAGTACAAGAATCAATGTATATTTAATTAATTTCAATCAGTGAAAACCTTCTTCAATTAGACGAAGATGAAACATATGATACACTAATCTGTACTGAAACTAGAGAATCACCCTTTTGAGAATAAGGACACCATATGCATGTACTCTATGTCCAATTTTTCGTATATGGATGCATCCCATTAAAACGAAGTTTAAGATAGTAAGTCCGAGTGGTGATTTGTGAATTGAAGAATACCCTGACCTTAATAGATGTGAGTCTACTGAGCACTTGGAATTTAAAAGAGAGAGAGAGAGAGAGAGAGAGTAAGTAAGTAAGTAAGCAAATGTATACAGCACAGTTTCTTTTATGATGCGTACCTGCATAATGAAAGCACCATTCTTGATGTCTACCAGCTTGTATTCTCCGTGACCATTGAACGTATATTTAAACCCATCCAATGTGGTGAAATGGGGGTCCCCGTTGAACCAAGCTAGAAAAAAATATATTGCAGTTGAAACTGTTTGAATGTCAAATACCATGATGTGTACAGGGTTTAAAAAAAAACCGTAATAAGACAACGAATCTTATTATTTGGACTGCGTATATCATCTTAACGAATACTATATCAAATATAAACTTATCTCTGCTTTTCTGTTTTTGAACAATTCAACAACTCCATTTCGAGTAATTGTATCTTAAATGTAGACTACTATTTTTAAAAAAAATACATGAAAGGCCGCTCACCCCAAATCAATGGTCTGTATCCGAAGCAGGTGTCTATTGGGCGATACCGGAAGTATGTTTGGCAGTTGTCAGAAAGCCCACAGCACTGCTGTTTTGGTACATACTCATTAGAGAGGTACCTGGACCGCGAGGAGCGCTCGTGATGCAGTTGCAAGGACCCTGCTGTGACGGTATTATCAGCCGTGATCAGCGACCATGACCAGATGTTATAACAGCATTCCTGAATAAAGAACAACAACATTCCTTTCTAAAGTTATATATGCATATGGCTGTGGCCCGTTAGCGTATACGCCATTGTCTAAGGTACAGACCAGCTTTATCCATATATGAAACATTCTGCATCTTTTAAATCCTACAGAAAAAAATCATTTGAACTATTTAATAATACCTATACTCAAACCGTATCAAACATGTGTACATATTCGTAGTACATATACGTGCTGAATACATGGCCTAAGTTAAAAAACAGCCATGACTAGCTCCAGTATGGTAAGTCTTATTACAGACATGATCAGAAGTGTTGTATCTCACCCGTCCTGCACGGTATCCATTGATCCGCGACGACCACCGGGTTACATAACACCACGTGTTCCTATAGGCTAAAATATAATATAAACAGTTTTACAGCAACGGGTCAGGATATGAAATTGTTCTTCCTATCTTTGGTCTTTTTTTTCACTGAGGTAAATTTAGACTTGCGCAGTATGTACCACTATTATAATAATGCTGCTCATTCTGATAAACTCAATCTGACGAATAGCTCGAACATCTCAGTTTATATATAGTAGCAGATGATGCATGGGCAATGGGTTAAACTTAAATAAATAAGTCGCCGTTATAATAATTTTAAAATCTTGGTGCCTATACTTGATATGCACTATCAAGACAGCTTAACAGATGAATAGAGATAGTCTGTAGCAGAGTTTGTTTTGATCCAACCGTAGCAAACAAGATATATTTTTTAAATCATGGTACAGATCACATCAAGACAGACCACAACTATTACAGATCAACACCATGTTTTTAAACTGTGTTTGGTATAATTATACTCCATTTAAATAGGTACTTACCTGGATCCCTTCTCCAAGCGAACCGGAATCTGCGGTCAAACAACGCGCCAATCAAAGAACAGGGGCATGGTTGAACGTTGGCATTGATGAAGGATATTGTGCTCATTGGGATTTCCTGTTGACGGAGAGCCCATTCGTTACACTGACAGCCGTAATTCGGGAAGGACGCCGGCACCGAGTTCAGCTGGAACCACCATTCCCCTCTTATACCTGAAACAGACGCAAAAGTTCAGCTGTTAAGGCTACATGTACATGTACATATATACGACTGTACTTTGACAGCGACGGACATATGGAACCTAGCAAGTTGTTGCTACGATACGCTTTTGAAAGTTCAATAAAATATTACACAAAAACTAGTATGTCAAACTGGGGCACAAGAAGGCCCTATATGTAACCCGTAACTTTGCAATCATACACATGATCTAACACTCAAAGGAAACCTTGGAATTGTATGGAAACGTTGATGCTGTCTGACTTTGACAATACTATAATGGGTTTACACATACACTTTTGTTTTATCGACAAATGGAGAGGAAGTGAGGAAGTGAATCCTTTCAACCAATTTCCCACATCATACCTCTGTTTCCAACGACATTATCTACCGTTGCCATGGCGTCAGTTCCTGAGATATACGGCTCGTAGAAATGACTAGCACCGTCAGTGTAACCAAGTCTTGCCCGCGTATATTTGGACGTTGGGGTAATGTGTATTCCGCCGGTTTTATACGCGATATATGCATATGACTGGACACAGTCTGTGATCAGAACTGCTTGGAATGTCACGTTCTATAAATATGAGAAAATATAGACGGTGATTGGATTACGCTCAAAAAGCATTACATGCGTGTTATTTCCAGTATTCACTGCAACAGAGAAGGAAGGAAGTATAACACCTTCCAAAATGTTTTCTTATGACATCATTTCAAAATTGAACAGTACTGCATGTTTCAAACTACCTTATCAGGATGCAATGGCAATTTTAGAGCAACTCTTTCAATTCCAAACTTAGGGATCAAATAATGTATATTATAATACATGTATTACTTTTTACATTTTCAAATTGTGTATTTTTACTTGTTAGATTTCAACAGCTTTTTTTCATGAACATAAGCCTATGGAAATTCAAAGCCTAGCCTTCCCTGAAAAAACGCCAACGTTTATCAAATGTCTCATTTAAATAAAATTACCTGGACACCAGCGTAACGACTGTTTGGTTGTGGCGGGCACTGGTCCCACGTGGCAACCAAAACCCACTTCGCTGTAAATGAGTCCGTGTTTACGTAATTCCGGACGTCCAGTGTTGCCCGGTCTATGACGTACTTGGTGTTTACATTGGTGCTATAATCCGCTCCGTACTCGTATGTGTTGTAATACACTACCGACGACCCACCTACAGGGTCAAGGTCAGCCCAATATGCAGCCACTAGTGGTTTAGTTTTGACCAGTGATAAGGCTGTTGGAGTAAAGGTGTTCTCCGCACTGTCAAAGGCAATGAGGCCGTTGGTACTGATCTGGAAGAAAAATGTAATAGTGTTAATTAGCTTGCCATGCCTCTCTGGATAAACCAAAACACTGACATACACCCGTGGCACGTACGGCCAGGCACTACGCACTGACGAGACTGTGAGAATACTGTGCACTTTAAAAATCAACAATATATACAGATGTGATCACAAATTGTTATGTAAACGTTATGTATAAGGTCAAGTGAATGCGATGGTATCTTTCATTTATCCTAGAAATGGTTTGAAAGAGGTCAAAGAGAACGGTCGCAGACATATTCAGATAGGTTTCAGAGTGACCCGTTTGCCACAATTAAGGGCAACAGTAAAATCTTTTATCATATTTGAATTTGTTTTATTCATTCAATATTTATTTTTATATTTAGTGTGTGTGTGTGTGTGTGTGTGTGTGTGTGTGTGTGTGTATATATATATATATATATATATATATATATATAACTTACATATACGAATCTATAAGCTTTCCGTCCAATTGTGATACCATTAGGCACAGTTATACGGTTCGAAGACGCATCGTCACCACTGAGTGTTTGATCCCCTCTTGCAGTTCCGTAAAGGTACATTTGGGATGTGGTATCAACTATAATTTAAAGAATATAGACATTTTTGATAAAATTACCCTATAAGATAAAATTACCCTGTATGTTATAATATACAGGTAAGTGCAAACAATACCTACTGCAATGTTAAGTATCCATTTCCTTTCATTCAAAACACACAAAGACATTTGTAAGCAAAGTGAATGTAAAATATACACCAGCCGACCAGATTTTATTCAAAAAAGGTAGAAACAAACTAAGAAATGGTCACTAAAATAATATATAAAATATATACATCAAAGAATGTATCCACTTACCCACGGTACAAGTGGCGCCAGTGAAGCCGTCCGGACACTGACAAGTGAAAATTGGCGGTGCTGAGGTACATGTTCCTCCATTACGGCAAGGCCCAGAGGCACAGACATCAACAGCTGTGGTAGTGGCCTCTGTGGTCGTGGTTGCCGCTGAAGATGTAGCTGCAGATACAAAAATTACTTGATCTATATAAACTGATACCGATATTGGTATGTCATGCCAAAAGAACCCATTAAACGGTCACACGGTTTTCATTATGGCATATTTCATTTTCATATTTGATTTTCATATTTCTAAAAATTTCTTCCATGTTTTGAATCTTAAAATTTAGATATTTTATGAAATACGCAAGAGTTTCTTTATTTTCGCACGATACTTTCATAAGCTGTTGTACCTTCAGTAGTTGTGGTACCTTCAGTGGTTGTGATATTTTCAACAGTTGTACCTTCAGCAGTTGTGGTGCCTTCCGAGGTTGTAGAACCTTCAACAGTAGTAGTACTTTCAGTGGCTGTGGTACCTTCAGCAGTTGTGGTGCCCTCAGTGGTTGTGGTACCTTCAGTGGTTGTGATATTTTCAGCAGCTGTGGTACCTTCAGTGGTCGTGATTTCAGCAGCTGTGGTACCTTCAGTGGTTGTGATATTTTCAGCAGCAGTGATACCTTCAGTGGTTGTGATATTTTCAGCAGGTGTGGTACCTTCAGTGGTTGTTATATTTTCAACAGCTGTGGTACCCTCAGTGGTTGTGATATTTTCAACAGCTGTGGTACCCTCAGTGGTTGTGATACTCTCAGTTGTCGTGATGGATTCCGTGGTATTTGATATTGTTACAAAGGTACACCGACGTCCATAGAATCCGTCTGGACACTCACATGCGTACGTGCCAGGGGTGTTTGTGCACGTGGCATTGTTGTTACATGGACTGCTTTCGCATTCGTCAATGTCATAACAAAAAGAGCCATTGCCAGAGAATCCGTTTTGACAGACACAGGTAAATCGGCCAGGGAAATTAGTGCACGTTGCGTTTTCGTGGCAGCTCCCTGCAATGTTGCATTCATCTACGTCTTGACATCTTGAAGCGTTGTTGAAATACCCCTCCGCGCAGCCGCATTCGTAACTCCCCTGGGTATTGTTGCACGTCACGTCGTCCCCTTCCCCACAAATGGTGAGGTTGGCACACTCGTTGATGTCTGTGCAGAACAAGCCATCTCCACTGTAGCCGGGCAGACAGGTGCAGCTGTAGTTACCTGAAGAAAGGTTGGTGAAATACAACACTTCATGAATAGAAACAATGTTGGAATAATTAAGAGCTGGACTTCGTAATCAACACATACATTAACTCGTACCGATGGTTCACAAATGCAAACGTGTGTGTGTGTGTGTGTGTGTGTGTGTGTGTGTGTGTGTGAAGGGCAACACAGATTTATAAGGTTGGCTGAAACAATGGATCGACTGCGAGTAGATAGATAACATGTGATTTACCTGGTGCATTGTCACATCCGGCTAAAGTATGACAATTATTAAGGTCAGCAGCAGCACATTCATCTATATCCTGGCAAACCCCGGATATTCTGTTGAAACCAGACAGACATGCACAGTAAAAGCTGCCCACCTGCAACACGAAACCAATTTTTCTGATTGCAAATGTAGCAACAAAATAATACCAACTAGTTCCTTGTCGTTTATTTAATCTTTTAATGGAACTTTTTGTATGACATACCATTGTAAATTCAAATCAATTTACAGATAATTATGTTGAACGATGAACAGGGCCCGAATTCTATTATATTACGTTCGCTCAACAGCCTTTCAGTATAGAAGGATACGGAGAGCGGATGCATAGAGAACACTATTCAGATGCGTGTCTCACCGTGTTCATGCATGCTTCTCCTGTCTGTTGACATACAAGTCTAGTTACACATTCGTCTTCATCCTCACAGTATGTGCCGTTACCACTGTAACCGGTGTTGCAAGAACACCCGTAACTTCCTACGGTGTTATTACAGGCAGCGTTAGCATGGCAGGGGGGTTCATCAGAATCGTTACACTCATCAAAATCTGAAATGATGAACACACCGACTTGGTTCAATCTGTGACATAATGACTGCCACCTCCAAATATTGCAGCTGTAAAAACATACTTGTATCCCTTTACGGCCATCAAACATGTATACCTGTTTTTTTGCATTAATATAAGGGTCAATGTTTTTTATAGAATAATAAACCTTAAGTAAATGTGTTCTCAATATTGATATGTAAATATAATCTAAATTATCTATTTTGTCAATATGTTTATAAACGAGTAACATTCACTGCATGGGATTTGTCCCGGTGTAAATATGAATTTTTATGAAAAAAAACGTCTTTTTTTTTACCGCCACAAATCCCTGGTGAGTCAGGATAATTGCCGGCCAGTTTGGCATAGCCAACGTTACAGAGACACGTGTAGCTGCCGTTGGTATTGGTACAATTGGCGCCACTCCCACAGTTGGCAGCACCAGTGGCACACTCGTCTATGTCCGTGTTACATTGGTCTCCCTCCCAGCCATCTGTACAGTTGGTGCAGCCCAGTATATTGTCACACACGAGGGCGTGGGTACTACAGTCACATGTGAACGAGCACTTGTCACCGTATCTTCCTTCAGGACAAACTGCAAGAAGTGAATTGATTGTAAACGAAGTAAATCCAGACAAATTGTTCACGAACGCAACCGAAACGAAGGGAATTTTACTTAACAGTTTATTTATTTATTTATTTATTTATCTTTTTTTTTTTTTTTTTTGAAGGGGGGTCAACAGTTTCGTTATATATATATATATATATATATATATATATATATATATATATATATATATATATAAGAACTTTAGGTTTGGTCTTTTCCCTCCAAGCGGTCATATACACTGATGCTTACTGAAACACGGAGCACCGCGTTAACGACAAGCGCTGACCTCATTGTGTTCTCATATCTGCATACGTTTAACATAATCACACTATGTTTATGAAATTATTATCTGTCTAGCGTTTACCTTCACATGTCCTCTTGTCAAACCCAACAGTGTATCCAATAGGACAGGAACACGTGTATGCTCCGTCTGTATTGTTGCACGTGTGACTACACTCATTGTCTAGACGGTTTCTACACTCATCAATATCTAATAACAAAGTGAAAAATTAAACAGTTGGATAAACTTACATTCCCCAACACAAGGTATTATTTCTTTGTATGTTTATGCATCAAAATAACATTTATACCGTTATACAGTACAAGTAAACTACATAGATTTTGTAACATGACACCATACACACTTTGGATATTACAGTGAAAAAACTGAATCAATAAAACTCCTTATAATATTATCAATATTTACCTTCGCAAGTGCTATTATCTAACGGGGACAGAGAGTAGCCCTGCGGGCAGGCACAACCAGGTTGTCCGCCACCAATGTCTCTTGAACATATCTGAGAGCAGTTTAAATTGTACCTTTCACAGGTATTGTTGGCTAAAATTTGAAATGTATTAAACGAGATGAACAAAAAAACAATTCCAGTTCTTTTAACGAGACGTGCATGGATCAACAAGTAACATATTTGACTGTAATGTCTGATATCTTTTCAGGAAATCTATCATGAATCCACTATGTTCAATGAGACTGCATAGTAACTTACCAAACTAAAGAAACCGTCAGCATTGCACATTGGACAATTTTATTTATCCTTCAAAACAACGCAAAGGAATTTATTATAGGTGACACTGTTGTTGTCTTGCTGGCAATATTCAGTTAGATTGCAATGTTTTTTTTTTCTAATTAGTTTTAATACCAACTTTAGTCTCCAATTTATATTGTGAAACTTACTCCAATGTTACAGACTTACCATCAAAGCACGTGACGTTGTCTGATCGCAGTTCGTACCCCTGAATACAGTCACATGTGTAGCTACCGTCTATATTCACACACACTTGTGAACAGTTATCAGACTGCAATGCGCACTCGTCTATATCTACAAATAATGAAAAGCCACAGGATTTTAATCGATCCGTGGGAAGGACCAACAATCTTATTCATAAAAAAATAATAATAATAATAACAATAGTAATAATAATAATGAAAGGTCTTCAAATTCGCGCTCTGCGTACCAGTATGTTTCAGTGCTGGGTAGCATAATGAAACGTGTCATCTGAAGTTATGAGATTTTTGAGAAAATGAATAATATGGTTAAAATCAAAACTACTTTATTGCTGAAAGCTTATACAGGAACTGACTAAGCACATTATGATATTTGACTTAAAATCGTGATTAACACATATACATCGTACAGTACTGCTCACGGTCTTGGGGTTTTGTTCTATTTTTTTATATAAGACAGCAAATGGCGCCGTCGAAAAATGTATGGAAAACACCAAGGCAACTGGTTTAACTAACACAGTCGTTCGGTATATAAATCTAAGTAAAATATTTTGGTCAGACAGAAACTCTAAGGCTTGTAATCGACAAATATTCTGTTTTGAGTTATCCCCACTATCTCTGGCCTCTAAGAGTCCATGTGCAAGTACAACTCCAGAGGTACTCACCAGCACATGCAAATGTCCCATTCTTCGTATAACCCTCAATACATTCACAGGAGTACGTCGTTAGCTCATTTATACATGTCTGTTCACACTGATTTGTCGTGTTATTAGCACACTCGTCAATGTCTGAAATGCACATTGTATTTTATGATATCATGAAATGAGTGTATGCTGTTTGTTCATTATAACATTTAGTGTTTGTTGACATTGGTTAATAAATATACAGGTATTCTGTACTATAACCCTGTAGGCGTAGTAGGTAAAGGCCTTTAAGAAAATATTGATCAGCAATTTTCAAAGTAGTAAAACTGAATGCACTCCCTATAGTTTGTTGAATAAAGTAAGTTTGATTACATATTGACGAAATGCACAGCAGATGTAATTATAAAGCCTTGTATACACGGGACTTGCACGGGACTGGTATGGTGAACGCATTAAGGCTCAACCTCATCAATGTCGGACTTTCAACAGAAACTCTCGCATCTTAATTCAATGAAATACATGTACTTACCCACACACTTGTTTTCCACGGTATCTAACTCGTATCCACTGGGACACTCTGTACAGTTGAAAGCAGCATAGCCCTCGGCCTCAAGGTCGGCACTGACGTCAGAGCAGTTGGTGCCTTGGGGACAAGGAGTTTGGAGACATCCGTCCGTGTCGTTCTCACAATTGTCACCTTGATAAACAATGTAACTTTCACTGTGCATGTATACTTGGCATTTCGCGAAAGTTTAAAAGGATAATTACTATTCGTATGAGATCTATATTTCACAATAAAAACATTGTGAACAACTCATAGAAATATAATATATTCTGTTGTACAAGAAAAACGGCAATTATAGCTATTATTCTGATATCTGAGCTTGTCTATAGACCACGTGACCTCCATTGATGGCTATACTCTGTTATTATATCTAAAGAGATTAAAAAAAACAAACTTTTTAGAAAAAAACAGGGACTAACTTTGAATGTAAAAATGGATTCATTAACCATTGATAACTACGGTAATATTGTTGTTTACTCCAGGAAAATTCTTTTTTTTTTGTTTGGCCAATTCGAAGAGTAAGTATCCCTTTAACATATAACTTATTTAAGAATTCAATTTGTGAGACACCATAGTAATATATACAAATGCTTCTTTGTGCTTGCATCCCCGAGCTTCAACCGTATTCACAATATTACTTTCCGTTACAAACGTATATATACCATGGTAGTATCCTAAAAATCCCAATTAGTATCACATATGCAAATGAGTACTTATGCGTGTATGAAGCACGTACCTGACCATCCGATAGAACAGTTGCAGGCCACTATTCGAAACTGGGATCCGTTTACCACAGTTCCGGTGTCAAACAAGCACTCTCCGTGGCCCGAGCATCCGGTACAGTACCGGATTTCAAAGCTCAATTCACTAGCACCTCCACGTCCATCATCTGCTGTAAAGCTGAAGAGAAATATTTTATATTTAACACCAATGGTGGTGTTATTATATCATTAAAGCAAACGGACATATCTGTGTACATGTACTTGCACTCCTATTTGAAGGAAATCGTAATGAAAGCCAACTGCCTATCAAAGTAAGATTTAAATACGATTGTTTATTCAACATCAGTTAAAAATCAGTTATTAGCCCTCTCCCTTTTTAACTCCGACATCGTTATGCCTTGTGCGACGCTAAAATATCGGGGTGGTAAAAACACATTTCTTCTATTGCCGATTGGCAGATCATATCATTATACGGTGTAACTGTGACTACATAACACGTAAACCTCCTGGATCTTCATTGTAGATTTCATATATAATTTAAACATACCCTAAGGAGGCAATGTTCAGACTATCTGGGGGTATCCAGTAGATAATGTTTGTGTTGTTATCGAAGGAAGCCCCGGATGGAAGGTCAGTTGAAGATACAACTGACACGGTGTCGCCATCTGGATCCGTAGTGGAGAGGAACAGGGCAAATGGGTCGCCGGCCGTCACATTCAGAACAGTGGTGGTAGCATTGGCACTGAGCGAGGGCGCTTGGTTTTCTGAAATAAAAAAAGACAAGAATCACCCTAATAAATCAATCAAAACTTTCATGATCGCGGCGAGAAAATGGCAGTTCGTGCTTTTTGGTGTTTTCCACCTGAAGGTTAGGAAAACAATTTCGTCACCAGACACTTGTTCCATCACAGCTTGAATTAATACTCACGTTGTTCAGCTGATGCCGCGCTGTTACTTTCCTCAGCAGATCTTGTATCGGCCGCCAAGGCGTCATTTCGTGTTAACACATAATCATAAACACATTCTTTGTTGTTGTTACATTTGACATTGTAAACTTCATCTCGCTCTGTGGCGTTGTCCCAGGTTATGTCTTCGAAGAACAGAGGTTCGAAGTCATTATCCGTGTAGTTATCATTTATCAGCCCTGGCGCATAGTAGAAGATGGATTCATTCTGCATGATTTGCCCTGAGATCGGAAAGAAAAAGAGAAAAAAACACCAGTCATAAAGTTTGTAAAATACCTAGAAACATGGCAGCTGCAGACTGATATACAACAAATACAACGACTACAACAAACGAAAATGAGATTATGAACGCTGTTCACTCGTGCACATTCATAGGCTTGAATGGAGATGTTTTTTTGTTTTTTTTTTTTTTTTTAACTGGGGGAAGGTTGACTGGAATATACTTACACAACTGCCCAAAATAGTAGAAGACCGTCCTCTGAGTGCTATTCAGGCTGAGTTGGGTACCGTTAGGAGTTGTCAAATCATCGTTGACATCATTGTTGTACACTCCCAAAAGCCCTCGTGTAAGATTCTCTGCCTCGCCTGGTGCTGAGACCACGAAATTCAACAAACCGCCGGTTCTTAACGATATATCCACTGTCCAGCCTGAAAACATATGCAGTGTATAACATATCATATAGCATCTCATTTTCTTTCCGTGCTTCTTCTCCGTCTCTCTATACGTAAGGTTGTTCGTATATGAACCTCGCTCTCTCGAAAGACATTACATCGCACGCATAATGTTTTAAAGGTTATATCTTTGGTTCCTATTTGATAAAAAGGTTATCTATTTGTGTCGCCATAGTTTTTGTATATTTTCTAAACATTCGTATTGCTAGTGAACAAGCCATCTAGAGTGCATCAATATAATCAACGTTCAGTTTCGCTTTGCGTATTCTACGAACCTGACACAGGGAAAACACCTGTCACCGTGAGGCTCGTGGTGTTATATGATAACTCCATATTGGTGAGGTCGCCACCTTCCAGAGACCCCCCGCTGAGGAAAGAAGAGCCGTCCTCCCATTCTTGAGTTTGGTTCCTATATATCCACAACGCTAGTTCTGTAAAAATATATCAAACATTTATCAAACGGTGCTGCAGGATATGAAATGACATATGTATATATATTAACATCTTTCTGTGCTTCGGGGTCTTAAATATGCCGCACCTGTAAATGTGCGACGGTCTTTTAGTCTTAGGACGGAGATTCAATAATATTAAACGTGTTCAAAGCACCCGGTAGCTGGATAATTAAATCTAAAATAAACACCATCCTTGACCTGTGTTATTATTTTTAAGTTCCACATGCAAACCGTCCGAATTCCTTTCATCGCGTGCGGCAAAGGCAGAAAACACCGTCGCATTCACAGGGAGGCCATCTTTGTCTATTGCCCTCGCTGTGCGTCCTTGGAACAGGAAGTTGGTAGTCTGGTTATTCTCCAAGTATTTCACCATCCAGTACTCGCCATGGCCATTGAAAGAGTAAGCATGCCCGTCAATTGTGGAGAAATGCGGGTCTCCTGATGACCAGCCTGTGTGAAAAAAAACAAATTTAAGGTTGGCCTATTAGACGAGGCGGATAAATAAGTATATCAGACAAAAATAAAATAAAAATGAAAAGGGAAAGTAATCTGAGAAAAGGGTGGAATAGTGACCTACAGATGAGATGGTGAGTAGAGATAAAAAATTAAGTATTTCACTGTCAGAAAGATATATATCTTTCTGCGTAACGTTTACAATGGTTCAAATTGATTGATTGCCATTTAACATCGTTGCATTGAGGAATATGGGAGATTATCATATTTAACGATATGTTAAAATCCTACTGATTGTAGCACGATGCAGAAAAGAAAGAACTTAAGATCATATCGTACAAAAACTTCAATTCGGATTGAAGATGAGTATTTACCCCACCAAGGTGGCCTGTAGCGGAAGCACGTATCCACTGGTCTGTAAAATTTATACAGGCCACACATAGTTTCATACTCATCCGATAGGTCGCAGCACCATCGCTTTGGCTTCGTGTCCCATTGATTCCTTGTTCTGCCACGATAAAAGAATGACCAGTACCTGTTTCGGTCCGAGTAGTACATAATCAACGTGTTGGCACGTGGACCTGTCCTGATGAGAGAACCCCAGGTGAAATCGTAGCAGCATTCCTGAAATTACAGAAAAGTTAAACTCAAAAACTTATTTTAATGAACACTGTAATAAAATCACATAACTTTTCACTTGCCAGTATGTAATGGTGAGGTATGTTTTACATGGACATGCTCTGAAAACAGCTCATCTATTCTCATGAGAAAATGCGTTATCCTAATCCCCCATTTCATCTCAATTTTTTTGGCTGATGTTATCCAAGGGATTGGAATCCTGTAAAAAATATCTTAGACAGGAATATGTGGATCGCTTTTTATTTTTCGTTGACTTACCCTTCCTGACCCGAAAAGCCAGCTGCCAGCTCTGGGGTAGGCACACCTAGAATTCCAGTTCACAAACCAGTTTCTGTCAATCCACGCCTGCCACAAACTACAGGGACAAGGACGCGCGAAGAAGTTCACCCGCCGTATATAAACCCACGAAAATGACCTCCGTTGTTCTGCAACCCACCGTAGACACTTGGCGTCGTAGTTGACCGTGTCGTCGTCCAGATTGTCCAGTCTGTATACCCAGCGCCCAACAATACCTTAGGTAAAAAAAAATGAGCATATTATTTTATGTCAAACTCTCTCACGCATTCACACCTGCAATCAATAATTCGTGCGCCATTAAAACTAAAATATAAAGTGCTTTGTCATATGTCATGTTCTGATTTCTGTTTGAACGTGCGGTGTAATCTTTATTCAAGCCACCTTCGTGGTCCATTGTGGTATGTGAGATGATAAAACAAATCTGTACCAAAGACGACCCGAGTGATATGGTGTCATTTTTGTGCGAAGAATCCTACCTGGTGGAGAAATTTGTATTGTTAGTTTATATTTAGGAAAAAAATATGTGCGTACATGTATAGGCCCCTATATTGCAGAGGAACAATCCTTTTTGTCACATGGTGATATCATAAAACATTAAGTTTTGTATATGTTTGAACACGGGGATGCACTCAAAAAAAAAAGCAAATCCCTTTTTAATGTTAAACTTCAACCAAATCAATCTAAGAAGCCATTTCAATGCCTTACCAGTATTTCCTTTCTGTGTATTGAATCTCGAAGACAGTCTTCTTCCCGATGCCGAGTGTTGGAAAAAGTTTCCCCTCCAGCACCCAGCTCCAGTGGTATATCCTATGTAAGACCTGCGGGATACCCCCAGGTTAAAGTCACAGTAATTAACTATGCCAAAGGAACGCTGTCTGTCCGTTGCTAAGATCACCTGATAGCTGCTTCTCTGTTGAAAACACAAAATAATAATGGCACACATTTTATAAAGACTCTTTACTTGTGATATTCAAAAAAGTCATATTACATTATACTGATAAACACACCAAAGCAAACTACAAGGGTGTGACAAACATCGGTTTTAAATGTGTGTAACAATTTTATTCGAAATTTACAAAATGGCAGTTACTGTGTAACTGATTTCACCAAACGGTAAAATGAACAAATAATAACAATTCTGCTGTATTCTGTATTGATATCGTAATTAACAAATATGATAAAAATAAAGCAAGGAATTTCATCTAATGTGTCCGGCCATGAAATTTATAGGTTGGTTCTCCTAACAATATTTTTTCTATATAAAGGTGGTACAACCGCAAACCTAAGTATAGGCTATTTAAACAACCATAACCTCATCCTTTGATAAAGTTTTATTGTGAGAAATTGGCATGGTTTAGAAGAACCTATTACGTACATATATGGACATGGCACATTCCTCAAAGTCCTACCTCATTACGATTGTACCGGTAGTAATACGGGCGTGTGTTGTTCCAGGTAATAGAAATAGCACAGTCTGTCGTAAAATCCGTTTTCAACCCTCCATATGTATTAATAAAATGATCGGCGAGAGCAATGGTATATCTCCCGGTGTCATCAAGATCTCCAGTCTTACAATATACCTACAAAAAAAATAAAATTGCGAAGAATTAAAAGTATGATATCATGATGTTTTACATTTGGTATTCATATGTATACATGATATAACAACAAACACACATTGGTTGCCATAAACACTGTAAAAGCCATTGTAAAAGTATACACACACAGACATATAAATGAATAAATGAATAAAAATGATTACATCATGTCCAAACAGTTCTGTTGTAGGAGCTGTAGTCCTGTGATTTAAGTCAAATAGTCTGGAAGGGCCATGTGATTCCTACTTAATACCACAACACTGGTTCGTAAATGTTAATGTACCACCCCTTAATAATTACCTTATACCATATCGCCGGTTTATTGGTGTAGTAATAGTAGGGGGACCAGTAGCCCCTAAGATCCTGATCGTACCACAACGGTGCCATGATTGGTACACGCACGGTACACAGTGGACGTGGTATGAACGAATTGTACGGATATCCGAAACTTATCAAGCCATTGGTACCAATCTGGAAAAAACATCAGAAAAAAATATAAATGCCGACTACATCCAAATAGTAATTTTGCTTTAAGTATTCTTAATATTTCAGTTTCGCTTCAATGTTAATAACTGAACTATGCTGCTGTTATATGCATATTTGCTCGAACATTTGTTTACTTAACTTTTTTCTATTTATCGGTTTGTTTGATTTTTGCTCAATGAATGCATCTATTCATTCCCCTGTTTTTTCGTTCAATGAATGCATGTGCCTTATCATTTATTACTAATATATATCCAGTTTCGCTTTCTTCATTTTAATTAAAATGGCTGTTTTAATTTTTTTTTATTTTTGTTTATAACCAATTTTGAAAAAAAGAAGACTTAACTAAAAGATTATAATTATTCTTCAATAAACAAAATAAAAACATAAAAAAGCAGTGCAACAATATCAAAATAAAACATATTTACATATATATAATAATGCTTCCTGTTGAAGAATCGGAATGAACTGGATAATCTGATCAGCCTGGCTGCATCGTCCCTGTTGGTAAAGAGGCTTTGGTCTCTATCGCCACCAAAAGAACACATCTCTCCTGCTGGTGGCACTATCACTGTAATTTATGAAAAAGGCGATTATTCTCCTGACATGCACCCAGTTGCTCTTATTTGTATCGAGTGTAGTTATGCCCCACCTTAGATTTCAAATCCAGACCTCATGACGCCACGTTAATGTTCTATTTAAGACACTCATTGGTTATTTTCTATTGTGCTTGATAAAAAAATGCTTATGGGTGATCGTATCTTTAAGTAGTTTTTGATAATTTATTCTTATTTTGTTTCACACATAATACGTTTGGTATGTTCATGTATGTATGTATGTATGATTTCATTTGCATCCCTTAAATTACAAGATCCATATGGTTTTATTTATGTCATTGTCTTAATAGCTCTAGAAAAATCAACAGATATTTAATTACCACCCAAGATTTCTTCTGCTGACTGTGATTTCCCCGAAGAACTCTTATTGTCAGCGGACAAAATGTGGTCAGGTGAATCTCATTAATTTTTGTTTTCTATAGCTATCGACAATTATCACATTTTATTTGTTTACTGCATGGCCAGAAATGTGCAGCATTTACGCGATACGCGAGGGCGCAACAGTAGGGCTTCACGTGCCTCAACTAACCAATCACAGCACAAGAATGGCATCGCACACAGACTCTGTGATAAGTGCTCAGCCCATTGTCAAGTAGTGTTAGTTCATGGTAACAAGCGTCTGATATGTGCAGAGAAGTTTATTTTTTATAATATATATTGTTCTTATTGTTACATTATTAAATCTAACTCTGTATCCAAGTAGTAACTATACTGTACCAAGTCAGGTACTGATGATGTACAGAGGTCATATATTCCAGAATAAGCCATTACCACTGATTTATAACTTTCATTTTTGTTTAATATGTTATTCATGAAAGAGTTCATGAAAGATTATTTTAATTTGTAAAATCGTGATCTTATTCTTTTTTTATTCAAATAATTGAATACTGTGGGTAAAATTGGTCTTCCACTTCTTATTTGCATTTTTTCTTTACTACAAGATTATTTTGGAGCAGTTGCAGCATTAAAAATATAAATAAATAGCAATCTGAAAGAAGAATTTTGCACAATTATTAAATGATTATATTAATTTTGGATTAAGAGATTAGTTAAATACTGAGTAGTGATATGGTCAGTCAATTTATGTAGAATCTGATAATATGATTGAAAATACTGATTGAATTCTTGGCCTTGCACTGGGCAGTTTTACATTTGTGCCAAGTGCTCTTTTTGGACTCCATTGTACAGTGGTAAAAAATCTTCAATTGCCATGAATTTTTTTAATCAGACTCTGTATGTTACTGCTATCAGCTGGTGCTATCGGCAACGAATTAATTTTCCTTTGTTTCTGAGTGAATCTACCGTCTAAAATCACTATAACTGAAAATATTTGCGTTTTGCTGAGGGTAGTCTAGGCAATATACGGCAAAATTCTTAGTACGTGTGTACAACAGAATTTTTTTAAAAACCCTAGCGATATTTGGTCAGGACTTGCTTGAAGCATAGCACAGCGTTGCTGTCTATTGGCATCAGGCCGTTAGTTTGTCAATTCTCACGAATTACCCACGAATCGCGAACCCATTCATTTTCCTATGGCAATCTAGCAACTCATTAAAAATGCACGCATGCGCAGTGGGCTAGGCGTGACGTCATGCAGTGCATTTCTGGGGATGGTAAGGAAAGGATGCAAACTGTGCAAATTCGGTCATTGTCCCACAGTCATTATATCTTGGCAGAGAAGAAAAAATATATCAGTTCAAAAAAAATCTACAGATGGCTGCACTTAATTGAGACTTACGTGTTTCACATGTGTTCCCCGTGAACCCCTCTGCACAGTTACATGTGTATGTCCCGATACCATTCTCACACGTGCCGTGTTCACTGCAGGGGTTGGAGGCACAGTTGTCAATCAACGTCTGGCACGTGGCACCTGTGTAGCCTTTTTTATACAAATGTTAAAACATATTATATTCCACACACGTATATGCATTAATAAGTCGAAATGGGCGTGAAATAATGTGCTCAATAATTTATATTCTGCCGAATACATTTAAAATTTATATATATATATAAAATGAGAAAGGGAGCAACCAACCCAACACACATCCTCTCCAATCACCCTTCTAACTGCTTACCTGTGACGCACTGACAGGTGTAAGAGCCAATTCCGTCCACACAAGTGGCACCGTTCTCGCATTCGTGACCAAGACAATCGTCTATATTAGTTGTGCAATTATATCCCGTATAACCTGAAAGAAAATGTTTTTTAATGATGATAGCGATTAATCTTACAAATCCATTTTCAAATACCATGCTTTTTTTAACTTTAACATTATGCGCATTTGTTTAAATCAAATTCAGTCGGTTATATGTATTTACATACTTAAGTACATGTATGTTCAATCTCATCACTGATATCATACGTAGTTAGCTATTACAATGATGCAAATTGTGCTTTTAGAAAATGACTGGTTTCCCATAAACCTTTCATGCTAGCAACATCAATCTGATGAGGGGATTTTTGCTGAATTGCATTAAGTTTAAGCGGCTTAAATGCCTGGCACGCCCACTGAAGCTACTAGTGGGCAATTGACTTTTGTACACACTTAAACAGAAAGCAATTTAGCGAGAATCCCTTCGGATATGATCGATCTGCTACACGACAGGGTTATGGGAATGGTCCCCTAGACTGTACAGACATTTATGATGGTATTTACCGTTAAAACAGCTGCAAGTGTACGAATCCGTGGTTTGGCTACAGTATCCATGGGGTCTGCACGGGTCGCGTAAATGTCCAGAACACCAAATGTTGACTTGACAGCTTCTTCCGGCCCATCCTGAAAATATTATACTCTCAGAATATGTCGCACAGTTCAAATATAAAAAAGATAACTACTTTTTTTGGCGAAAGGAGATTTGCAATAATATCATATCAATACGCGTTTCAGCATCGTTGACAATTAAATTGAATGATTTTCGTAGAATATACAAATATACAGGTTCAAATACATGCTAAGATGTTTATATTACTTAATATTTAATGAATGCTGTTTGGACAACTAAGATAGCAACATAATACAGAAGAATGTGTACAATAACAGTATATATGCTCTTTTTTTTACTGAGCACTCCATTTTCTAAGATATTTATTAATTATGAGACCATAATGCAAAATACACCATAGTACCCAACCCATAACACGTACAGTAACATATTAACTACATGTACTTACCATTAAAACATTCGCAGCGCCAATTATTGACTAAATCTTTGCAGATTCCATTTGATGAACATCGTCCAATGTGTCCATCTGGTACCAGACAATCATCTGTGTTGGTTTCACATACTTGCCCGTGGAAGCCTATTGTATGAAGAGAATAGACAGTGATATGACTCAAATATAGCATTGTTACGAACAAAATAGAATATAATGATGGTGGGAGCATAATAAAAAAATACTTTTTTGCAACTAAAAGGTCAAGGCGTCTTACAAAACAAAAAATTTAATCAGGTAGGCTATCCGTATTTAACGTCTTTTATTTTGCAAGGGGGGGGTCAGCAAACAACAAGTATTGAGATAACTTTCTGTGCAATTTTTTAAATATAATTTTCTTCTTTGCCAAACATGTATAAAACATATATATCTGGTAAATATAAACCCCTGCTATTAATATCTTAATGATAGATAGAAACAAAGTTGTTACCTGAAGGGCAGCGACAAATGAAGTCCTCGTTGTTATCATCACTAGAACAGGTTGCATTGTTTTGACAAGGACTAGATTCGCACGGGTCATAAGTGGTTGTAATAACTCCAATGGTTGTAATTCCCTCTGTTGATGTAATTTGTGCAGTGGTTGTAATAACTTCAGAGGTTGTGGTATCTGCAGTAGTTGTGAAGATTTCAGCGATTGTAACTCTCTCAGTGGTTGTGGTGCCTTCAGTGGATGTAATACCTTCAGTGGTGGTGATACCTTCAGTGGTTGTGGTGCCTTCAGTGGTTGTGGTGCCTTCAGTGGTGGTGATACCTTCAGTGGTTGTGGTGCCTTCAGTGGTTGTGGTGCCTGCAGTGGTGGTGATACCTTCAGTGGTTGTGGTACCTTCAGTGGTTGTGGTGCCTTCAGTGGTTGTGATACCTCCAGTGGTTGTGATACCTTCAGTGGATGTAATATGTTCAGTGGTTGTGGTACCTTCAGTGGTTGTAATACCTTCAGTGGTTGTGGTACCTTCAGTGGTTGTGATACCTTCAGTGGATGTAATACGTTCAGTGGTTGTGGTACCTTCAGTGGTTGTGGTGCCTTCAGTGGTTGTGACACGTTCAGTGGTTGTGATACCTTCAGTGGATGTAATACCTTCAGTGGTTGTGGTACCTTCAGTGGTTGTGGTGTCTTCAGTGGTTGTAATTCTCTCAGCGGTTGTGGTGCCTTCAGTGGTTGTGATTCCTCCAGTCGTTGTGATACCTTCAGTGGATGTAATACGTTCAGTGGTTGTGGTACCTTCAGTCGTTGTGATACCTTCAGTGGATGTAATGCCTTCAGCGGTTGTGGTGCCTTCAGTGGTTGTGATACTTCCAGTCGTTGTGATACCTTCAGTGGATGTAATGCCTTCAGTGGTTGTGGTACCTTCAGTGGTTGTGGTGCCTTCAGTGGTTGTGGTGCTTTCAGTGGTTATGATACCTTCAGTGGATGTAATACCTTCAGTGGTTGTGATACCTCCAGTGGTTGTGATACCTTCAGTGGATGTAATACGTTCTGTGGTTGTGGTACCTTC